TGACTTGCTTGCAACAAGGCTCAAGTCATGGTCTTGCGTGTCAATCTCATTAGTGGGCCAGTTACTGAGCTGATTCTCACCACGGACATCAGAGACTCCAAGACATTAAACATTCTGGCCTTCATGTTATTTTTGAATGGCCAGATTAGGAACCGAAAACCCCAGGCGCCTCACTTGACCCTCGAGCTAATTAATGCTGTGGCGAGGCGTCTCGCTATGCTCCAAGCCCAAACTGTGCATTTGACGGCTTGCGTCCATATCATCTCTGTTTAGGCTCCAGTGCGTGAAGTGCTTCATCAGAATTCAGAATCTGACGATGGGCCACGCAAAAGTGGCTCTGTGCTCTCTACGCTTCCGCCATGCAAGACAAGTCCTGGTGTAAAATGTGCGTGCCTCGATTATAATCGAGAGCATCGAACGAAAAAGAACCGGTGCTCAACATGATGCCTGTAAATAATCACTCTGTTCTTCGTGAAGGGTTAGAAATGCGATATTAAATGGCAATGTTCGGTGTATCACATGGCTAAAGAGCATCCCACCCAATTCGCGGAACACGAAAAGGTCAGAGCACACTTTATCAAGCCTTTCATCGCTTCAGCAACAAGTCTATACGGGATTTGTAGTATATTTTACTATACTAGAATGATTCATTTGTACCGCTCTCCTTTCCAAATAGTCCCATGTCGACGGCTGCCAGCGTCGACTTGCGAACAGGCCCCGCTTGGGATCTGTGTAAAATACGCAATATCAGGACTTCTTAAAGCTTACGGCGACCGATTTTCTAATCCAGTAGACGACTTTGTGATTCTTCACGCAGCCCTCACTGGTGCACTTGTCTAGAAGATCATGCCAAGTTCCTGGAATATCCGGCTGTGGTGTCTCATCACAAGCTGATGCAAGCTTTGAACACTACTTTATTCTGGGCTTTCTGGTATGGCTGGTTTCTTATTGCAAGTATGCGCGCAATGTTTACAAAGATGTACAGAATTCTTGTTCGATTGGTCGATGAAACCTATCAACTCGGCAAGTTTCTGGGAGATCTGGGTTGAGAAAGAGTACATTCGACTTGATTGAAGCATCTTTGAAGCCTAGACTTCATTGGCCTCAGATGCGGACTCATGATGAAAGCTAGGTTGTACTGGGAAGAGACTTTTCAAACAATCAATTGCATTCAAACCAACTGAGACCGTGGTATTCATCTCTTGGCTTTGGGACATATCCCGTTCGTTGCTGCTTGTGACTTTGCGAATAATAGTGACTTTCTAGGCCACTGATCATTGCATTTAGGGTCACTGAACTTGTTCAGCTTGCGAAACAACGCCTACAGTCCACGCTGATTTCCGTTCAAGCAATTAAAAACAATCAAAGTGTCTAATCTTCTTTGCAATCTAGTCAACTTTGTAGTTTCGTCAACCAACATCTCTAAGCATTCCATCTTTTGGCAAGAGTGGTTATTCTTTCCTGTTTCATCTGTGGAGCGGCAGGGCGTACCGAGATTGGGCACGATCTCGGCGCTGACATTGGCCGACCGAGCACAACGGGCTCTGTGCTCCAACTCCCCCCCTCTGGAATGTACAACGTGGTCCCAATTAAATGGGACACACCGCAACTTCAAACACCCAGCTAGGCCCCCAACTCAACCGCAAGCTAAGCCTCCAGCTCACATGTGAGATTTCAGCCTCAATGCGCCATCCCTAACGCCCTGCCGCCCTTCCAATAGACTCCAAAGACGACCAACGTATCAATACTCCGAGGAGGGATATTTGAGGGCACACTCAGAGACGCCCATAATGCCCTCCATCCTCGCCACGGCGATCCAGTCTTCGTTACTCAAGGGCACCGCAAACTTCACGGCACAGATCGTCAACCAGCACAGGCAGGCCGGCGGCAGCGCCGGGGCCCCGCTCGACGTCCGTCGCGTCCTCGAGTTCGCGACCTTTGGCTTCATCCAGGGCCACATCAACTACTGGTGGCAACACTTTCTCGAAGACCAGTTTCCCAACTCGGCGTCGTCGGCCCGCGGCAGGGGAAGGAAGGCGTCCATAGTTGAGCCCAAGATCGAGAAGCCCGAGAAACCCGAGAAGGCGCCGCCCAAGAACTACTTCAATGTCGCCCGCAAGGTCCTCGTCGACCAGACTGTCGGCCTTTTCATGATGAACTCGGCCTTTCTTCTCATCACATCGGCCCTGCGCTTTGGATTCTCCCCCATCGTCTACCAGATCTGGAGTGAGAGGATATTCGACCTGATCAAGGCCGCCTGGAAATTTTGGCCTCTGGTGGCTATGCTCAACTTTGCTCTCGTGCCCGTGGGGTATCGAGCGCTGGTGGGCATGTGTGTTGGATTTATTTGGAACATGTTTCTCACGTTTTTCCTTTTGTAATTTGCATGCCGGAAGGCCTTTCATTCTTTCTCTTTGTGCACATCATGGGTTGCATCAAAAAGCATGGAGTTTTTTTATCGGGTTCGAAATGGTTGATCCATGTATTCTTGCCTGCCACCTAGCTAGTCTTGGGGAAAAGACGGGTCGCACGGGGCAATTCTCGTCATAATCAATTGACTGCTCACAGCTCATCATGGACGGCTTGCTCAGCCGCCTTTCCGGCTGAAGACTTTTCATCCCCTGTCTTAGGTCCGAGTATAGTGAAAATGACCCGGCGATAGGAAATCAGTGTACCATCAGAGACCTCAAGGATGAGGTGCATATGCTTGTCGTCATTCGGGTGACGATTTCTGCCTGAAGCACGGAGGACCTCCTCTGAAGGCATTGTGACTGTGATAATGGGAGCGTTGGTGTCACTCAGCTCCAATCTGCCGACGTCTCTTCCCGGATTGTTGTTGTTTGATGATGGCTCCAGGTACTGCCACCACTTGTACGTCAACTCTCCTCCATCTGGGTCGCAAGACTCTCGTGCATCGAGCCCAATGACGTCCTTCTCTTTGACAACCATCTTTACGACCTTACGAGACGTGTCTCCATTCAAAACCACGACTGGGGCATGCTGAGTATCACCGAATTCAGGACTGGCGGACCACTTGATACGGGCAGCAAAGTCGTTCTGAAACGCCTCCCGCCATCTCCACACGGTCGCCTGCGAACTCATGATCATCCTTCCCGATGCCCCTTTCAGGACATCCACCGTATCCGCGTAATGACCCTCACCGTAGGTAACGGGTCCATACCGGCCGCCCCAAGATCCCCATTCCGGATATTCGGGGTCGGAGAGCCCGTTGGGTATCAGGTAGAGAAGCGAAGGTGTATCGCCCTCGACAATGAAATCAGCGTCAGGATACTTCGCCCCCAAGGGTCCGACACTCTGGATATTCTGCTTGATCCAATCTGGCGATATGACCTCCTGGTTCGAGAAGCTCGGAAAGTTGTAATACTCCTCGCCCGAGATGCCGCCCCACGCAGCAACGGCATACCGGTTGAAGTGATGGACACTAGCAATGTAAAAGAGTTGCGGCCAGTTTCGACGGATCCACGTGCCGGTATTGTCCTGATCGGAAATCGTATAGACGCGGAGCTTGGAGACGAAGGTTTCGATCTCGGATTGCGATCTCGTCGCGTTGACGTGCCAAAGCGCCTGCGCCAGAACGGACGCCCCTCCCCATACCGGGACCCAGAGCGGCCCGTCCGAGGCGTCGACTGCCTTTACAAGCCTGTCGGAGCCCTCGCTGTCCTTTCCTTCGCCGACGCCGTCCATACCGTAGACCGGCAAGCCGGAGGCAATTAGACCTTTGAGATAGGATACTTCAGGCCAGCCGAGAGTATGTTTCTTCAGGTTTGGCAGTGCTTCGCCGTATGCGTCGACAATATCGTGCATTTGGTCTGGGCGGGTGGTGTCATTTAGCCAGACACTCGTCGTCGCCACCAGACCTTCAATTTGGAGCTCATTGGCGTAGACCAGAAGTCGCACGAGCGATTGCGCATCATCGGGCTCGTTGGCGATGTCGCTCAGGAGGAATACGCGGGGCTTTTCGGGGGTTGAGGGCGTGCATTGTGAAGCGAGAGATGGTACGATGCAATAAAAGAGCAAGGCAGCTCTTGCAAAGGGCGATGGACAATGCATTGTGAAACAATAACAACAAAGCCTAAATGATTGAATAACTTCAAGATCCTCGATTACTTAGCTTTCTGTGAGGGGAGGTATTTGTGGTGTTTCGCAAGCCTGAAGCTAGAGTCAGCTGCGACGCTTCTGATTGCCTTGTTAGGAATGAACAAAAATGGGTCAAGAGCCGCCAACCTGAACACTGCGTCAGTCAAGCACTCTCGGACTTCTATCCGTGTGTTGAACACCAATATCGTCCGAGTCCATGATGTCTTCCTGAAGACCAAATAAGTCTGAGTTAGAAAACAAGTTAAACAAACATCATCGCGACAGCCACTAACGCTTGGCTTGTTTGCAAGGGAACCGGTTGAATAGACATGCAACTCTAAATAATCGCTTAGCGCTTCCATGATTCTGCCTGATAAGACCGCCTTCCTCCTACAGTTATACCGCGACTCTTCAGCATCTCATACAAGAAGTTTCCATCATCTCAATTGCCGGCAGAAGTTGCTGGAGAAATCACCAAGGCATTTTAGAGCAGACCTTCTACTGTGGCATATCCTTCACAGCAGATTTCCAGGCTGAGCGGCTCGATACACGCTTCCATAAGTCTTCAACATTTGGTCCAGCGGCAACTTCTTCGTACAAACCGAGTAACTTGATGTAAGGCATCCAGGTGAAGACATAGACATCACCAAGGCTAAGGTGCTGTTTCACGGTTAGAAGAGGCTTCCCACCTGGCAACGTTGTCCGAATAGCAAAAGGTGCAGATGATCTTACATTTCCAGCCAGGTAAGTGCTGGAGCCCAGGAAGTCTTCGTAATAGTCAAGAGCAGTCTTGAACATTGCAGTTGCCTTCTACACTTCAAGAGGATTGGCGGGTTCATAAGGGCTTAAGTAGGTCGCGTCGTCAGTATAGAGTCTCTACTCATTAGGCGAGCAGTTCGGCCTTACTCCTTCCACAGCTTCTCGTTGCACAATGTCTTGACGGATGGATCGAAGTACGAGTAGTCAATACTGAGAGCCTTCTCAAAGCTCCCAATCTTTACCGGATCACCGCTCACGACGGCATCAAGCGAGCTAGAGGGACCGCCAAACTTGGTGACGAGGTAGCGGCAGATGGCTCGGGATTCGAAGAGTTGGATATCTCCATGAAGAATAACGGGTATGCGGCCAAGGGGGTGTTGTTCCTGAATGTAGGCGGGATCCTGGTGCAGAATGTCAGAACCTCTATTTCATGCATGAAGATGTGTGGATAAACATTCAGCAGGCAACAGCTAGGAACTTTCATGTTCTGATCTCCCTTCATGAGGTTAACTTGAGTCAAGTTGTACTTGATCCCAAGTTCGTTGAGAGCGATCAGCACTCTGTGAGTACAGGATGATGTAACGGAGCCCCAAAGCTTGATCCACATTGTTGAGTGTTGAACGCTGAATATAATGATGGCTAAATGAAAGAGAAGATTGAATATCCTTTGCTTCTGAGGCAATGAATTTCGGAGGATGGATAACTCTCCGATGAAGAGATACACTACCCAGAACATGGCGACTCGAAGCCTTTTATTCCACAACCGAACAGAACTCATTGAATTGCAATCCTGCCGATAGTACGAATTTGTCAAGGTTAGTAACTGACGGTAAGTTTTGAACCGTCACTTTGCTCCCCAATCGAGTGCGATGGCCTCCAGACTACCTTTGCAACTTCCAATGCCCTTGACATCTATTGGGGCTAAATAATTGATCACATCGCTGGCCAGCTAGTTTCACGCTTTGCGATTCGCTAGAAATGGAGCAACTCTCTGGAGTCGTGATGCGACTGAGGGTGGAGGTGTAACTGCTCGGAGGAACGTGCATATTGGTGTCCGTGACTGACCGGCTACGCATTCGGAGATTTATAAGCCTCCTGCTGCAAGATATGATCAAACACATGTGTAGTTACAGACTTTTGATTCCTAAGCACTGATAGTTCGGATTTGTTCGATGGCTATTGGGAGCGTAACAGGCCGGTGGCGGCTGTTATCGATTTGCACCGTAGGGCGGACTACGGGAAATAATATGATGGAAAGGCCGAATTGCTGGCGGCGATGATTTATTAAAGGTATATGCAAAGGAGTCATCGAAGATCTCTCTGCATGTATGATTGTGGCAACCTGAATACGCTTGTCAGTAAGGCTGGAACCAGCGAATTGTCTAGTAATTGCATTGTTTCATATCCTACCTCTCTCAAAAGCCAGCTGTAAAACGATAAACACAACGCCATCTCAAGTTCTCACATTGGAAAGATCCCAATCAGTTTCCATCCAGGATTAAAAAACTTAAATTTCATCATCATCCAAACTTATCGCTGTCTCGAGGACCTTAAGAATCCGTACTCTGCAAGGCATATTGTTATATTGTAAGTTGGTCTAACAAAACGAAGTAGCACTTGCATAGGTTATCAATAGTCAGACTTTCATGTTTCGCCAAGACATCTGTACCTACTAAAAGGAAAAACGATGCCTAGGAAGTTATCATCAAGGAGTCTGAGCATAAAGAATGGATAGATCTTTTGAGACTCAACTCATACTTCCAGAGCACCTATGTCACTACCGCGAGAGCTTGCACATCTAAAATTAGCTTGGCGAGTCACGTTTCTTGTGTTACTTGGACCGGGCCAGGTAAATGTGGCTGAGGAAGCCTTAGGTAATGCGCCGGCTGAGCTGTCACAACAGAATGCTCGGCTTAGACCCGCCTTCGGCCCTCCCCCAATCGAAGCCAATAACGGGGAAAGGGGGTCACGACTCGCCAAGAGATTCGCTCGGCTGGATCCGAACCATCACCGCCTTGATCTGCAGGCAAGGGGCTCCATGCCAACAATGCCCGCGAAAATAGCCGCTGTATTCTGGTCAAAACCCAAGTTGATGGAAGTCCCAATTTTCCTGTTAGAGTTTTGGGGTGTTCATTAAACCCTAAGAGGGCGTCTGGAAGAGTGATACCCTGGATTCTGTCGGCTTTAGCCGGAATGACCTAGAAAGTGAGTACTTTACCAGCCCCTATCCCACCTGATTGCTGACGGAAAAATGTTTGCCGTCCGTTACTTCCGGTGTACGAGATATCGAAAACGCTTGTACGGCCATTTCAATCTTCGGGACTAGGACGGCAAGGCTTGTGCAGGTAATTTGCAGAGCTGTCGTACGATCGACTCACAAATCCTGAACTCAGACCTTGAAGCGAGGTCGTTTGATACGGGATCAAGGAATCAAGCGGGAACTCCACATGGCAGTTCGGAACAGAATTCACGAGCACTCTGTCTTGATTGCTGTTTAATCCGGCTCTAGTAGTCGAGAAACACTGTCGTATTGCTTCTCGTGCGTGAAAGTGTCTGGAATCTGTGGTGACAGATGCTAACTCTTAGTTTAGGTTCACAATTAGGGCAAGCGGTAGCGGTTGAACAATACTTTGATGCATTATCTTTTACACTATGTGTGTGCAGTCTCGACCCTAGTATGACGCGACAGAATTGTTCAGAACAAGTTTCACAGTATACCCCCGCCCAAACTCCAGTCCGATGCGAATTTTATGTCCTCTAAACCCCGGCCCAAATCATTAGACATTATCGATATGTGCTCCTCAATCGCGCTGTATCGTCACGGTTTTGGTCTGTAGAATCGCCTTGTCGCTCATGTCGTCGGCGCTCTCCCTCCCACCGGCGACTACTACGGACGAGAAGCCGGGGTCTTCTTCGTTCGCCCTCTTGCGATCGGAGTGGAAGGTATGCATTTCGTTCTCGTCCGGAAATTGTTCGTATTGTTTTCTTTGTCGACTTTTCATGGCATTCGTTGATCTTTGATGCGCGTATGACATTCGATAACCGCCGACTGCGTAAGATGATGGGTTCGTCGAAGAGCCCATGAGCTTTGGCGCGAAATGCTTGAAGAACTTTCGTAGGGTGGGCATCGAGCCGCAAATCACAAAAAGGTTGGCTTCAACGAAACTGTCCAGAGCAGGGGTTAGAACAATGAAGATGCAAACAGTGATCAAGAGCACTTACGTCCAGATATTCGCAGGGGCAGCATCCCATGACGGATCTACGCTGACGAGCAGTGGGGGCAGGTAGGTCAATCTGACGATGGAAGTAGCGACAGTCCTTCCCATGGAGTCAGTCCGAAATCCCTGGCCTTTGATAGATAGGAGTCACATACATTGATCCAATGGCAAAGATGATAACGGCGCCGATCTTTGATGCCATCTTCATGCGAAGGCTGAAGATCATAGGCATCGGCAGAATGAACAACATGACATCGGTGATGATGTTAGAGACAGCCGTAGCCATGTAAAGAATGCCAACGTCGAGGCACTTTCCGCCGGTGATAGTGAAGTCGAACGCTTTCCTGACGGGGTTGCAGTGGAACAGCATCAGGATAGTGATGCATGCTGTGTACAGCGAGACGACCGCGATACCCGTCCATACTGCTACCCTAAACCACTTCTGCGGAGAGAGGTGAAGATAAAATGTCAAAAGAGACAATTTGGTAAAGCCATTGCACAGCATGAAGACCGGAGCTGTGACGTAGGTTGTCTTTACCACGTCAGTATAACATGGCAATTGGGGATTTCTGCGACAGACTCACGATAGAGTAGCGCACGAATCTTGACATTGGCATCTCCCAAGCATGGGCGCACATGCCACCTTCAGCAATAGAAGCTGCAGCACTCTGGTCAGCTTCAAGTGACCTGCAGCATGCAAGATGGGTCAGACATACCAACAAGCATTGCTTGAGTGACTACGGAGGCACCCTGAGGGAAGGAAGGTTAGGCAATGATCTGGTAGCCAAGGAGCTGAGCAGCGATCAGTGGATCGTCGAGTCGAACTTACCCATCCCAGAAACATGAAAGCTTTCGATAGTCAGTATTTGGCGAAATAGTAGGTCGATCAACAAAGGTAAAACTCACCATCGTCAACTTGTAGCCCTTTGGAAAGGAACAATTTGGTGTAAAATCTTTGGCACAGGGCGATGAAGGCAATTGTACCACCAACACCAAAGAGCAAGTAATGCTCCAGCACCTTTTGCTGCCTCGGGTGGTCAAAGTCGACCGTGACGCCCGGCGGGGCTGGGATCACAGAGACTTCTGACATGATGCCAATAGAATGGTACAGATTCGCAAGCAACCGAAATCTTGGATCTATTGAGAAAAAAAGAGCAGCATCCGATCTAGCGTATATACATGTTATCGTACTGAGTTCTGACGGAATTCACTCGCCATCCTCCGTGGCCACATTCGGGTGTACCGAGGGTGTAAAGGACCAGGGTTCAACGTAGAAAATTCGGGCCTCCCCCTTCGACGAAATTGCATGCTTCAAGCACCTTCTCCCACACTTTGTTTTCTCGAAGGGATGAACTCTGGACGATGCCGAGGAGGGAGCATGGATCACTCAAGGTCCCTTTGAGAACTCCTGGAGTCTTGCTAAGTGTGATCTCGCGCGACTCATGTAACTGGTCTCCATCTCAACGGTCATATATACTTACGAGGCCTATGCTTCAGCACCAGGATAGGCTTACTTTCTTGTAGTGCACTCTCGATTTTGTTAAAAGTATACTCGACGTACTCACTGCTCGAGATCTTGGCCTTGTTGTTGCGCAACAGAGTAGCTTCTCATTCGTGGGATCGCTGCCCTTCCAACATTAATAAGAGGCACAGTGTTTGCTGGACGATCCACGCCCCGATCGAGAAGTCTGGTCCGAACTCATAATAAGGTTCCGTTGTTGTAGAGTGTTCGAAGTTGTCTCTATGGGCTGGGATTCCTGGTCCAGCCCCGGTAGTTGGAGTGGTGCAGAAGAGGAGAATGACCAGTCACAGAGCGGGCCGCCGAAACTGGGGTCGACAAGGAGTCGGGGCAGCCCTGACAAAAGGACCGATGGCTCCAATCTCCAAGATAGAGGAACGTCATGCCCATTGGGTCCCAGCTGCCAGTTACCCTCGCTCTCGCAGCCCCCCATCATTGTGCTTGGGATCAAGGGTGGTGAAGACTAGAGAGATTTACAGAGTAGTCCACGGCCGAGCCTTCAGATCCTCCGCCCTTTCCGTCAGATCTTGGTCAAAGCTGATAGAACAAGACAACGGTCCCAACACACGTAATCGAATGGAACCCAGGGTGCGGCACAGAAAACATCCACTCCTTGCTGATACACGTACGGATCTAGAATCCATGCAAAAGCGGATTGTATTAGAAGGACCTTCGTCGTACGGGCGACATTTCCTCCTTTTCTAGAACGGGGAGTCGTAGAGCAGAGCTTCTGCTTCCTTGGAGGCGATCGTTATAATATACTTTGCATGCCCATTTTTGGCCTATAAAAACCGCCAACGGTTTCCGCGTTTGCCATGGATAGGGCAAGTAAATCTGCCCAAGCTTCACCAGCATGACTCGCTTTCCACAATTTGGAAAAAAGAAGAATAAGGAGGCGGCTGTTCAAAGATTCGGAGATGAGCTCTTTGAAGATGATGCTGTCGCAGAGGATTATCCCTCATCGACCAACAACTTGTTCGAGGTCGTTCAGTAACCGAGGCCCATAGGATGTAACTCTAGCCCTTGGCGAAGCAAACAATGTTTGTCGGAATCCTTGATAAAAGTCAAGACATTCCGCGGCAGAGCGGCAGAGCAGCATGCCATTGTTTGCTTTGATAAAAGTGGTTTTGTGGTCGATAGCGGAAAGTGAGTGTTGGTGTCCATCGACTTAGTATGCAACGGGGAGGCGGGCACGAGATGGGATCGAGCCAAGTTCACCGGCGTTGAATTGCTTACAGCCCTATTCCCTGTTGTCCGAGACAAGGAAGCCCATACTGCCAAGTCGGAAAGTCTTTATTTTGTCAGCGCTTATTGCCTAGCAGTTCTTGGTTCCGAAACCTCGAGGAAATCATCCCGGAGAACGTCGCACTGCATTCTGGACATGTTGTAGAAATGGGGGCGGAACAACGCTTTGCAGGTCAGCTCTCCGCCCCCAAGACACACTCGCGACAAAAATACCACGAGAATGAAGCTGTTGGCCCTAGGCATTTCGTCGATTTCCGTTCTCGTGGCTAATGTGACCTGATTCCAACACGCCTTGCCACAACTTCGTGGGATGCTGACCGATTGCAAAGGCAATACATAACCCAAACGAGGATTGAAGCTCCGAGGAGCAGCAAACATGATCCTTTGGCCCCATTGACAAGCTGAAGATTACTCCTCTTTTTCTTTGCAACTTTCCACTTGACCTACCGGATTCGTGCGGGTATTCATCGGTCCCTGCGTAAACTGCGGCTTGCGGGATTGGAAATGCCCGCTAGTTGCATTAGATCAAATTACATCGACTCATGCTGGTCTTCCAACCAGGACACTAGCTCGCGGTGGAGGCGAGGTCGGTCTGAACTTAAAACTGCGGACTTGGAAGGCACTGGAGATTTGATCGCTCATTCTGAATGCAACGGCAATAGATATTCGCTAGAACACCTCGAGAGTTTCTGGTCTTTCTCATCCTCTCACCTGGTCTTGCTGCCGTCCAGTCAACAACCCCGATCCTCCCATCAGATCACCCCCACGCAACGAACACGGGAGCTCGTGCGCAGACACACACATATACAGAGTCAAACAAACTCCGGTAATCATGAGGTTCTCAATGGGTTTGTCGATCTTGGCCTTGGCTGCCTCGACTGTCTCAGCAAGGGGTCGCAGTCCTCACTGCGTGTGTGTACGTTGCCATCCCATTCCCCATCTCATCCACTCCCACTGGCGATCATTTCTAACTTTGGCCACATACAGTGTTCTGCACTTGCCCAAGATCAAGACCTTCAAGGCAAGGTCTACTCAAAGGACAACTCATTCTACGATGCGCGGTTAGAGACATACTACTCTGCCAATGCTGCTCAGGCTCCATGGTGCATGGTGCTGCCTGAGAGCACCTCAGACGTGACAAAGATTGCAAAGATCTTGAACAGAAACCAATGTCCCTTTGGAATCCGAAGTGGTGCTCACTCAGCCTTCACTGGATCCAATGGTGTCAAGAAGGGCGTTACCATCGACTTTGGTAAGCACTTACACTGACAATCAACAATGTGAGATGTATCATGTACTGATGTTTGCCTCCAGGCTACATGAACACTACGACATACGATGAAGGAACAAAGATTGCCTCGATCCAGCCTGGCTCGGATTGGGAAAGAGTCTTCTCTACCCTTGATCCCTATGGTGTTGCTGCTGTTGGTGGCAGAGCATCAGTCGTCGGTGTTGGTGGCTTCATAACGGGCGGTGGCGTAAGTTACCCCAACTTGGCGTTTCACGGATCGTCGATGGTGCCGGCTCTGATGTCTCGAACATTTACTGACTTTCGAGATACCAGTACTCCTTCCACACTAACTCTCACGGCTTTGCGTGCGACTCAGTTACCAACTTTGAGGTTGTCCTCGGGGATGGTTCAGTTGTGAACGCCAATGCAAACGAGAACGCGGATCTCTGGAAGGCACTCAAGGGAGGTTCAGGAAACTTTGGCTTCGTCACTAGAATCGATGCCCGTAAGTTGGTCATGCCGTTACATAGCGTTATTCACTGACACATCCCCTGCAGGCACTGTCGACTCGACACAGATGTCAGGTGGCTTCGTGAGCTACAACCTCACAGAGAGAGACAACGTCTTCAACGCCTACCTGAACTTTGCCAACAACATGGACAACGACCCCTACAGCCAGAACATTGTTGCACTGTACTACGACAAGACCGGCTTCAGCTTGAGGTCTATCCTGACCAACGTCCAAGCCAACATGGACGCGCCTGCTTTCGACGAGTACTATGCGATCCCCAACATCTCCAGCACCGTCCGCGTTGGCACTGTCGCCGAGCTCGTTCCGGAATTCACTGGTCCCACTCCCTTGGGCCTATAGTAAGTCCTTGTTCTAAGAAAGACCCATGACGTAGTGCTTACACGGTGAAACAGCGCGAACTGGATGGTTGGCCAGACTACCAATGACTTCCGTATCATGGACTTCATCGACACCAAGTTGAAGGAATACTCAGCCAAGATGAAGGAAGCAGCGCCCGAGTCCGACTTCAACGTCCTTGTCCAGTTCCAGCCCGTCACCCAATCCATCGTCAAGCACGGCCTCGATAACGGCGGAAACTCACTGGGCCTGGAGAGCGTTGTTGCCGATGGTCCTACTATCATGTGGCTCATTGCCTTGACTGTCGATACTCCTGCGAACCAGAAGTTGATCCTCCCTTTTGCCCTCGAATTCCGTGCTGCCATCGACGAGTACGCCAAGGAGATCGAGGCGTACAAGGAATGGAAGTACCTCAACTACGCATGGAAGGACCAGGACCCGCTTTCCACCCACGGCGAAGAGACCATCGATTTCCTCAAGTCCGTCTCAGAGGAGTACGACCCCGAGCACGTCTTCCAGAATCTCCGCAAGACCGGCTTCAAGCTTCCGGCCTGAGAGCCTTTCTGGCCTTGAATGGAACTCTGAGGATTGATTTCCCAAGGGCAATTCAAAACTTTTCGCGTAAACTTCAGCACGTCTATGTCCCGAAGAGCTGCTAATATGGCCATGGCCTTGGATCTTGATTGCTATTCTACTATTCGTTGTAAATAATTGGCAACCATATCAGTATCCTGTATCAATACCCTACATTCAGACGAGAATGCTCGTATCTTAGTACATAACCATTTTTTCTCCTTTGTACTTATACACCATAACCCTAGTAGTAAGATAGTTGATACGACCTGCCTGCGTTGTCTTTATTTGGTTTTCATAAGATTGCTTCGAATGTTGATGACCCTCTCCCCGTCGAATTGTAGCAAAACATAGGCTCTTGATCTCGATGTGCCAGTTTCCTTGTTGACTTTAGCTACTAGTAGGTACACTGTTAATCCAACGGAAACTACGGTATGTTGGACCAAGTGTGCCAGATACATGATTTCTTGCGAATAAAAGCTTGGCTTTCACCCAAGAGTCACTTTCGCTACGTGAGCTCGTCCATTAATTGCCAAATACTATCGGGGAATGTCTCCTCGTGAATCCCAACTTCAGGAATGGTCATCTCTTGCCACTCGACAGGGAAGGTCTCCCCAAGTAGGTCCTGGGCGACGAAGTCGTATAGCGGCTGTTGCAGGGCTGCGTCGTTCGAAATCTGCCCAAGATCTGGGCCGGCTTGTGTAGCTTGATTCCGGAACGGCGCCTCCACAGCTCCGAGATGGCTTTCCGGTTCATTATATCTCAGAGCGGCAGGGTCCAGGGAGGAGGATCGGCCCGGCATTTTCCGGAAAAGCACCTGTACAACATCATAAGCGAAGCCTGCCATGGCATTCCGTGACCTCATGGCATCTAGCCTTGCCAGACCCCACTCCAAGCGGTTCACCGATTCTGCCAGGAGATGTTGATTGTCATCCGGGGCTCGAATGTAGGTAGCTGCTATCAGAACCATGGCATCAAATATAGAGAAGACCACAGAGAAGCCTCTATAAAGTAGAGCTCCCGCGTGTTCAAACAGCCTGCTTTGCGACGCGAGCATTTTCAGCGCGGCCAAGTGGGCCTCTACTCGACTTGCGGACAGGGTGGATGTGAAAGGGCGATGCAGTGCGAGCAACACGAAATAGACCTCGGTAATGAGTGTTTCGCGAGCAGCAGGGAGCCAATGGTATCTGCTGTCGAGCACCGGACTTGCGAAGATTGCCCATGCCGGAAGTTTGGAAATATTGCTTATCACGGCGTTGTGTATTTTCTGAACGGTCTCCTGCGCGTCCTTGTTCTCAACCTCAAGGTCGTGGATATCCTGTAGATACTTGTAAGCAGCGTGATAGCCGCATACCATGAAGTCGAATGGAGATATTGTTACGTCGTCTAAGCCTGACGGGGCCGGCGTAACTGTCGGGCTCGTCAAAGGCACGTAACTCGAGTCCAGTTTTGTCGTCATGGGCCTCCCGAGAACAACAGCCATGTGCGCGTCCCAGAGATGCAACACAAACCACAATTTCCTCTCCAGCGGGAACCTCGGCGTCTTTATGGCGTGTTCGGCAGACGGACTTGTCTCCCAGACCCTACGTGTGTGCAAGCCAAGTTCTTGGGCGTCTCGGATCGTTCTTCCAAGTGTGTGCCAGGCGTCAATGACTGAGCCGATGCTCTTCTCAAAAAATGCCTCCATCAGTCCAGCCTGAATTTTGTTCAGAGAGATGTCTTTGCTCCCAAGCATAGACATGATTTGAAGGCCCACATTGCTATAATCCGCGGCCAGGTCGGCAAAGTCGATATCGGGTGCATACTTGAGGCCCTGCAGTGCTTCGTCGTTTGCATTAGGATGAAATTGTAATGCTAGTGCGAGAACCTGAAGCAGTAACGCAGGGAAAGCCCGGATGCTGACAGACAAGTTCTCAGGGCCCTGATTCAACCTTGTAGACGAGATGTGACTCCATTCTGATAGCTCGTCCCGAAACGTACAATGATCGATAACGTCATACTGCCATGAAACATTGGTGAAGAACGACTCTACAAGAATACTAACGTGTTCCCTTTGTGGTATCTTCCTTATGAGGGTCACGTAGTGAACTGCCGCATCATGGTTTCGTAGGTTCCCACCGCGGGGGGCTAAGTCATGGCCCAATGCCCCGAGTTGGGAAACAATATCGAGGGTCCCTTTGGTATTGCCAGAGTAACCCAGTCGTGTTGATAGCTCGTGAAAATTGACGGACTTCTTCTCTTCACCTGGCGTGTTGTCGGACGATGATTGTAATGGGCTCGTTGGCAGACCTTGGGCTGTTCTAGATTGAGTTGCCAATTTCTCAGCACCCATGTATCTTTGCTCAGTATACTCATACAGGCAAAGACCCTAAGTTCTATCAGTGTAATTCGATACAACCGCGAGGGAGAGGGTCATACAGGCTTGCCTCGTCGAGAGCAGTGAAAACAAGGCTGCTGTCGATCGCACTGGTGTCCATTAGATCAAGGTGTGCCGCCTGCTAACCGAAAAGCTCACTTTCTGTTTGCGTCTGTGGCATTCTGAGCATGAGATCACCAGACGCTTCTGTCTGTGCGATGGGTGGCCGCGGGAGTTATTAAGTCGCCAAGCAGACATCATGAGAAGCCTAGCCCAGCATATGAAGAGAGTTGAGGGGTTGATCGACACGTTGCTCGCGCTGAGGGGATTTGGATGACCACCGATCTCTGTTTACATAATCGCACATGCACAGGCCACTCGGCCAAACTCCTGGCCAGCTCCAATATGAGATAGCGAGCAGCGGACAAGGCGTCGACAGCTATGTCCGGATAGAAGGGTTTTGCCATTGGCTGATCGGCCGGTTTTGAGTTCGAAGTGTCCTATGTTGCTAACCCAAACATGCATCATTGACCAGTTCAGTACGATTCCTACTTCATTCTGTAGCTTCTAATTGCATCTAGGCAGAGGTCTTGTTTGGATGATTGCCATTTCTTATGAATATATGTATCCATAGATCAGGAGCTCAGTTGGGGTCTGTTGCCCGTAGAATCTCGGTCTGTTTCTTGATTGCGGTTATACGCGGATGCTACACATGCAGGCGCGCCATAGCCTCACCCAGGGTCAACGGAGAACACCAATGTCAATGCAGTGCCGGCGACGGCCGTGAGGTCGTCGCTCAGATGCTCCGGAGTGCAATAAGAAGAGACGTTTTTTGACACCAACGTGAACAAATCACCGGTGTCCAAACAGTACATGCCAAATTTAAGATGAGTTGGTTCTATTGAAGACCTCGAGATGTCTTTGATCTACACTTTTGCCTGTCCAAACCAAGCCGCGATTTCGCCAACATTCCTATCTACAACATCCGGCTGCTCGTAGTGCTGAAAGTGCGAGATTTCATTGTCCCAAATCAATTTCTTCTCCTTCGTCGGGATCGATTCATAGTGTCTCTTTGCTGCAGCGGCATTCATGCAATTATCGCCATGAATCACCAAAGCTGGCTTAGTGAGCTTGGCCACACCAGCGACTGTGGAATAGCCGAAATGGTCCAAATCGCTCATGACCGCATAGCGGTTTTCGAATCCCTTCATCGTCCAGGAGCCATACCACGACCATGTGACTGGTCCTGGAAGCCCGGCAAGGGAGCCAACGTCCGGGTCTGCAGCTTTGGGGTCGACGAGAGGTTGGTAGATGACTTCCCCTGTCTTTTGATACAGGGCCTTGGCGTCTCTGGCTCTTTGGATGCGCGCCTGATAGAGGGCTTCTCCTTGCTCAGGTGTAGGCATCTTCAAAGATCCTACGTCAACACCTGGCTCGACATTGACGCAGCCCGAGCAGATCATCCAGACATCTGTCTCGCGGTCGCGGTAGTATCCCGTGACGGAAGCTACCGCGACAACGCGATCGTCATAGGACGCCACATCAAGACACTCGGGGCCTCCCTGACACACGCCTACGAGAAATAATCTCTTGGCATCCACGTCGCCCCTGCTGGCGAGATAATCGAGACCGGAGACCACATCTTCGTTCTTCATCACAGGGTTCTCCAAACGACGTGGCTGGCCGGTGCTTTCTCCGACAGTGCGTGGGTCGAATATCAAGGCCGCATAGCCTTCGTCAGCCAGTCGCGTGGCATATTGCAACGGAGCTTGCTCCTTGACAAACGAATAGGGACCTAGGACCACAATTCCAGGCGGATTGGTGATGCCTTGGGGCTTGTAGAGGACACCAGTGATGGTCTCCCCATGAGATGGGTAGGTAACCTTCTCAGTGGTATAACGGCCGTGGACACCCATTGTAAAGAGGATGGATTGGTGAGATGGAGTAAGGTAGCTGAAGGATAGAGTAATGAGGTAATGTGTAGATGCTTATGATGATTCAAGATGTTGTATCTCTCCAGAAAGAAGTGATAGGGTCAGTTTTTATATGCGCATCTCAGAGCTTCAAGGCTTCCATGTATCCATGTTGCCATGCTTCCGTGTTTTCGGCGATGAGACCCACTATTTTCGGTGTCGGTGCCCACTATTTTCGGCGATGGCTGATAAAAATGACCGACAGACAAACCTTGCTTGGTTGCATCCTTTAAGCTGATTGACGATATGGGAATATGGCGAGTCTATCTCCGATGTATTGCATCCAGACGAAATGTGCTGGAGTGTTCAGCACAATCTGGCACGCGGTGAACAATTCAGATCGCCGCTTACAAACAGGCATAGCTACCAAATATATCTCTACTATAGTAATAAATAATATTCATAATATATTATCAAAAGATTCAAAAGATATTTCGACTACCTCTGAATAACCTAGTACTATTTACCGAATATTCAGAGGCTTTTTCGCGGACAGACGTTGCTGATGCAGAGAGAGACTGCTTGGAAATCGGCGGTCTAAACTGTCCCCTCCCTCGCCTGCCTGGCAACTTCTATGAAAGGCTTAACTTTTGAGGATGCCAAGACACATGCTATCGATCTGAGGCTTATTCTGCCAGGACTACAATTAAGGAACACGATATTTACGCCTCGCTGGCTTCGCGGAGTTTAATCTTTTGCTCAATATTCAGACAGCAATACGTGCAATTATTAACCACCAACCCCACCACCAATTACCCGACCGCCGTAGTAGGGCACGAATACACCCCCACGGTAGCCTCCACCAACACCGCCAACTCGACATGCGCGTTTTCCAAAGCCATCAGATTCAAATTCTTGTAATGGGATATCGGCAGGGAACAATTCGTGTCTTTTTTCGAAAGCGTCGGTACTGTCGTATACTTGTGCGTTCTTCAAGTTGACTTTCGAGCCGATGGCGTGTTCTTCGTGGCTGTTGAACATGTAATACGTGCCGGGAGTCGCTTGCCCGTCGCAATTGGCTTCAGCTACGACTTTCTCTTGTACGTCGGCACAGTAAACCCTTCCAGCATTGGCACCCTGAACAAATAAAAAAGCCGCCGCTGCAGCTTGCAGGCCGTCAAGATCTGTATGGCGTTTCATGGTAGTCGGATCTCAGCGTGAGATGAAGACTGAACTTAGGACTGTTGGGACTTGTCAGGGCGTGTGAAATTGCTCGGTTGCGTGCTGGCCTTATTATAATTCGCTGTCAAGCTGCTGACGGCTTGGTACTCGTAACAATGGGACGTCAAGTGTAGACTGTCACACAGCGCTGTTCGTATTTAGCGATGTAATTTGTGTCAGTTAAAATATATTACAAATTTGAATTCATCATGTACCCAGCCAAAGGGAACTAAAAGAGAAAGGCCCTTTTGACTCGAATACTTGCTTCAATTACTCGATAGGATTCAATTTCGAATCTGGCGCCGAATCAAGCCTCAAGAGCAATCAAGTAAGGTTCTGTTCGTGCCAAATCGCATGCAGGGATAGCGGGGCACAAGTGCCGTACAGTGCTGTACTGAATTGTTGTGGGATGCCGGTTTGACCGATCCTCTAAAGTGTGCTGAGGCCATCAAAGCCTACTCCAAGTACCTTACGTGGATTAATGCGCCGACGGTCTTCATTTCCACGACTCAAGAGACCTGGGCAGTCTAAAGCAATGTGGTTTACCTCTCCAAATGTCTCTCTATCTCCCCGCATGGCTCATAACGGTGTGATCTACTTGGCGGCTAATTATACGAGTCTAGGAAACCTTGTGTCCAGAGACATCGCAATGTGTGAGTAGTACTCCTGCAATAGCGGAGGAGGAACAAATACATCGGCATGTCCTGGATGACGCCGAACTCAAGTCCCGCTTGCCTGCCACCTCTTTGTGATCACTCCTTCTGAGACATTTGCTCTCTTACACTCGTTCAAAATGCGCTTCTCTTATTTGCTTCCACTTTTTGCGTCGGCAGCAATTGCTGCTGACCAAGGCAAAGGTTGCGGAACAGTGGATGCTATAGACTGCTCGGGGAACAATATCATAAAGTGCTACACTTTTCCCGGGAGAAGTGGACTGACCTGGAACTATGTGAGTCCACGTTCCCAAGACGCCATCCTATTAGAGATAACTAGAGCTGACTTCAACCAAGGTCGACTCATGCGCCGATAAAGGGCAAGTGTGTAGATCTGGCGCTTGCGACACCATCCCAATCAGTGCCAACCAGGGCAAAGGCTGCGATTTGAAAAACGCCTTTGGCTGCTCTGGGAACAACATTGTGCAGTGTTATACTTTCCCTGGAAGGAATGAAATGACCTGGAACTATGTGCGTGATCAGGCCCTACATCGAATTATTTCGGGAATTACTAGGCTTACTCGATTTTTTTAGTATCAATCATGTGCGGACAAAGGCCAGATTTGTAGCGGCAATGTCTGCCAAACTTGCTAAATCTTTTGTGTTTGGATAACTACTGCCTCAGTATACCAACATGGTGATGCACTTGTTATGAAGAGAAAAAAAGAATTGGGCAGAGAATTATTCATGATTCGGTTTAGCCAACCACCCCCGACGAGACTGTGACGGTGTGACCTTCAATTCCTTTTTCTTTCTTCACATCATACGGTCTTGGGTCGGATCAAAACCACGCCCTGCTCATTAGGCAATGTCTGATAAGGCTGCACGTCAGCTCGTAATTCTGTATTCATGTTTATTCCACAGGGGAATTGCGTTGGGCATTTCCCTACCTGGCCCTGAATCTCCATATTCTCATACCGACCTTGACCCTCTGGCATCTTGATGTCGTAACGCTTCAGGACTTCCACCAGGACCATCTTGATCAAGAGGTCGGCAAGGAACCTCCCAGGGCAGGCAGCTCGACCGTAGCCCCAGGATAGATCTAGTTTACTCACACTCAAGACTTGAAACTTTGACCGAGCTTCTTCCGATTCTTGCCTCTTTTTATAGAATCGCATACCATCGAACTCAGAGGGGTTATCGTAGAGGTCCGCATCCGCGTTAATGGCTCCAGTGGCAACTTCGATTCTTGCACCTTTGGGGATATGAAACCCATTAGAGAGCGTTACTGGGCCAGTAGCTTTGCGCTGGAAGGTGGCTGTGATGAGAGCAGTTATTGGGCTAGTTCTTCCGTTCGGGTAAATTGCCATGAGAGCTGGGGCATGACGACTTACTCAGATCAGGAGAGCAAATTCTTTGTACTTCCTTGACAAAGCTATCCATTTTCTCCAGTTTGGAAGCAGATCGTCTATTGATCACATCTCCATACTGTTTTGTAACCTCTTGTACTTCCTGACGCAGTGCGGGAAGGTACTGCGGGCGACTGGCTAGGTCGTACAGACATTGTACGACTGTCGTTGTGGTTGTGTGGATGCTTGCAGCGCACAAAGGCATCTGAATATCCATCTGAAGTCGTAAATTGTCCAGGTAGCGGCCATCCTCGTTGACGTAATCAAAAACGCTCGGTGGGTCAGACAAAGGCTTGAGGCCATTGGCCTTCTTGTTCTTCATCTGCCTCAAGACCACCTTCTCGCCGTTACTGTACTGTTCAACAAGGCCCGAGAACCCTGGGAGATACTTATACAAAATCGGATGGAGGAACGAAGGCCATTGCTTTGCACCTACGGCGTAGACAATCTGATTGACGATGAACGTGCTCGCTACGTCGAGAAAGTCTTCATCTTCCGCAGCATCGTGACCAAGAAAGCCCCGGACATTTGCTTTGGTTATAAGTGGAATGATGGCTGACCACACATTGATAGGTGCCCAGGCTAAATCAAGGGAGTGAGATAAGTATCTTTCTCAAACTGCCACCAACACGAATTGAGAACCATATCTCTGTGCTTACTTGTATCGTTAGTTGTAGGCAATAGGCCGGCAACATGATCGCTGACCATGTTCTGGAATACTTCGGCGTACGAGTCTAATGATACAGAGAGTTTGTTAGAATCATGAACTTGGCCTTTCTGGGGTAATAATCGTACCTAGCGCCGGATTGAACTTTGCCGAGAATAATTTGATTGACCAGGCCGGGAGGGCGCCAACTTTGGTATATCGTTCGAACGTGAACTACTTGCTGTCAGTTTTCGTGGGTCAGGGAACATGTCGACAAGCATTAGCCGTGTGCACCAACATCATTGAGAGCGGCGCCAAAGTTGAGGTTAGGATTGCTCTTCAATTCGTCCATGAAACGAAGAGGCAAAACAATGTTGAATCCTGATAGGATAAGTGTGTGTTAGCATTGGCCGGGGGATGTATCTACATCAACTATGCATGCGGGAACAAAGTCAACCTAATGGGGTATCAATGGCGAAGATTTCATCCTTGAACTAGTACAGGTCAGATACAACCATCATCGTCGCTTCTCCAAATCCACTTACCTTCGCATATCCCTTAACAAGAACATCTCGAGAATTGCGCACGTATTGCTGAACTCTCTTGTTTCGGCTGGGAAACTCATCCTCAAGAGCGAAAGGAACTTTGGGCCGGTATGCCCAAACTTCCGTAGCAAGGAATAAGCCGAGTGTCCCCAGCGCCAGAAACGAAGTGATGAGGGCATAGTTATATCCGGTATCTTTCGAGATCAAGCCGATCGAAGACGGTGAAGTTGATGGTAGGATAGCTGCAACGTACGACGAGGGAGTATCCATTATCTTTGTGGTTCGAGAACGCGCCTGATTTAAATGAACGATTAAAAATAGCGAGATATCTTGCAAGTGATGTTTGCAACAATGTGAGAGTTCAATGAGTCGTAACAAATGTAGCAAAATATACCTAGAGTGGAAGAAGTCTGGCCGGATAACAATTTGTCCAAATGTCTAGAGGCTTATATCAGTTCCGAACCAGTTGATTCGGATATCTCAACATGCCTCGCCAAATGGATTAGCCTGGGAACAATGGACACTCAGTGTGTCATCCTGAGTTCATCCGAACTTGGCAGACTATCCGGATAGCAATGGTATCCAACGTCGTTCGTATCTTGATCGGCAATCTGACGCCGACTGTGTATAGACCAACGCTCCTCGGATTACTTTCACCGACGAGACCGAGCGTTCGAGTTCGGGGTTTCGGACTCCGGCCTCTGAAGTCCATTAATGCACTTTTCCATAGACCGCTATTGACAGTAATTCAATAACACTTTCAGCAAAGCAAAAATGGCTCGCATCTAGAACCATAATAGATCTGTTGCGTGGTCTAAAGATTGTTCGCTACAACCAAACAAAACCCTCTTCAAATTCGATTTGCCTTTCCAACGACGCCCCATCACAACTTTCAGAAACACAACAGGTAATCGAGCAGAGAACATCTGTCAATATGGGAGTACTTCAAGTTGCTGCGGCTGCAGCCAAAGAAGGTGCCTTGGGAACTGCAAGTCCTGTTTTGCTCGGGCTTCTCGCGTTGGCGTTGTTCTTATGGACATCGAGTGGTTCGATGAAAAAGAACCTTCCTCCAGTTCCAAAAGGCTATCCATTTTTGGGAAACCTCCTTGATGTCATTAGTGCGGGTGGTCTGCTGCATCTCAAGATGATTTCCTGGGCTCAAGAGCACGGCGAGATCATCCGCGTCGTTCTTGGACCTAACACTGAGTACGTTATCAATTCCGATCGCGCTTGTGCAGCAATCTTCCAAAAGAACGCCGCAGTCTCATCTGAACGACCCGCCTGGCTTGTCGGTCAGAAATACATCACCAACTATGAGAGTATGGATCTTTTGGATGCCAGCAACCCCCGATGGAAGGTAAGATCATCTCGACTCTCGCGCTGACGGCACGGTCATCATTTGCTAATAGACACAAAATCACAGTTGCAACGAAAGATAGCACTTCAGAATCTTACCAGCGTTCAGCGAGCTCAAGACGGTTTGCCATTTCTATATCACGAAACGCTGAAGTTCTTGTATCAAGTCTCGCAAGACCCAAATGCTGGTACAGAGGAACAAACCAATCTGTGGGACAGCATCGGGCGCTACGTTTACAGCACTTTCACATCCCAGCTCTACGGCCTTGAGGTAATAGTTCAAAAGAATAATATAACGAGTAGCTCCAAATAACGCCGATTTTTCACAATTTTAGGTCACAACCTCCGATAGTCCAGCAAGCAAGTACATCTTTGGTAGGTCTATGCCCACTCCTCACCTATGTCTGTGGATACATGGATAAACGCTAACCAGAAATCCTTTCAGAAAGTGCTATTGATGAGATAACATGTAAGGCTAGCACCGATAATCCTCCACTTCACAATCGCTTATATGTGTGACACGAAGCGACAATTTCTGGCTTCTACATCGCCGACGTCTTTACCGCGCTCGATTACCTACCATTGGCTTTGAAGCCTTGGGCTAAGAATGGCATCAAAAGACATAAATCTGATGTTGAATTTGTCGAGAAACGATTAAACGTAAGACTAGAACTACCCTTCAGAATCTCAAAGTCCAAGTCTTTGGCGCTAATGAACCGGTCAGTATGCTAGGCAGCTTGTTAGCTCGGGATCAGCCCCCGATTCCTTCATGACGCGCGTTCTCACGAGCACAGATAAATCTGGCGCGACTGATAGCGAATCCGCTTACGTCGCTTTGAAGCTGATCGCAGCTGCATCGGATACTGTGAGTAATTGCATGTTGATTGGGCTTAGTCACTTCAAGGTCTTGTCTCTCTAATCATCACTAGAGTCGAGTCAGCACATGGGTGTTTCTCGAGCAGATGATGATGAATCCTCACATCCAACTGCACGCTCGAAAGCTGATAGGTATGCATCTCGCCAGGACAGAGAAGCCCATATGCTCCAAACTCGAAGCTATTGTGGCATGACTAACGATGTGGGATAGATGGTACTGTGGGAGACCGCCTGCCAGTATGGGAAGACATTGATCGGATACCTTACGTCCGATGTATCATGAAAGAGACGTGGCGCATGCGTCCACCTGTCGGCAACGCTCTTGCCCATCGCATTACCGCCGACATTACGTACGAGAACTATGTGATCCCAGCAGGAGCCACTGTTCGACCGAATATTTGGTACATCAATTCCTTCGCGTCTCTGTCAATCACAGTAGCATAGCACACATCACATACTAGAAGTGTCTCAAGACTAACTCCCTCTCACAGGGCAATTGGCCGAGACCCTAAGCGACATGAAGACCCAGACACATTTAAGCCGGAACGCTGGGAAGGTGACGAGTTGTCGGTAAGTCACCCTGTTTTGACATTGTTCCTGCGATGTCTAGACTTTTGTACTATTCCTGACGTACCTATCTAGACCCAACAGTCCGCGAATCTGCCTGACGCTTCCCAAAGAGACCACTTTGCTTTCGGTGTTGGACGCCGCTTCTGTAAGTGCCTACATCCGTCAACCCGAGTCGAGCTTGAATCTCACAGCATGTTGTAGGCCCAGGTGTCCCAGTTGCCGAGAGATCCTTTGCTGTGGCAATTATGCGGGCACTGTGGGCTTTTGACATCAGTGTCCGCCCCGGAAGCCCAATGCCGTTAAATCCAGATGTGTACATGGATAAGGAGCTCCCAGGAGTCCCAGGACGCAGGCTACCGCTGAGCCTGAAGGTCAGAGAAGACAGAAAGGCTTTAATTGAAAAAGCTTGGAAGAGAGAATTGGCCGAGTGGCAGGTACATGTAGGTGACAGCCTTTTGTTTTTATCACACATGTTGAAAGCTTCACTGACAGTGTCTTGACGGAAGGGCAATATGGATCTAGACCCACTAGAGGACGTACTCCGCGCGCAAAAATGACCTGAGATGCGTCATATATGGCCTAAGACCTGTAGAAGAGTCCGAAGCTGAGAATTTTCTTCCTCTTAGATGGAAAGGGTAAATGGTCAAAAAATGCTGGAACAGAGGGTGGCATGATTAACTTGTGCAAGATAACAAGAAGACGTAACGAGTTCAAAGACAAGTGCTGGCGGGGTGACAAATCGAACTCAATGCAGTCATTTTTGCCTCAACAGAAGTTATCGAGCTGCTTTAGTGCCTACTTGTAACATGAGAGGTATGGGAAATTATCAGGTCACACAGTCAGTTGACACAACTGAAGCGAGCATCGGGAGCCACAATTGGAGTCCTGGAGTAATTCGGTACATGTATCGAGAAATTCGCTAAGAAACCCCCTACATATGCTTGATGTGTGTTTTGGACCAATACACGATAACTTGGATGATAGAGAAGCCTCGAAATTGACCGAGGGTTCACGCTCGTGATGCATGATGTGGGCTTCAACAATCACGAGTACAGGGTAATAGCGACCTGACTGTCGAAAAGATTATCTAAGGGCCAGCTTGCACGTTCTATTACACCCACCAATCATTGATACAAAACTTGATATACGGCACTTGGAGTTGTTTCTGGCTGTACTGCAATGCTAATTCAAAAGTCGGGTATGAAGGCGCTAACGAGTTATCGCACACCCATCTCACTTATTTGGGAATGATAGCTTCTTGCTATGATACAGCGGCAGATTTTGGTAACAATTGATGTCTGAGCAACATATAGGTCTCCTGTTTTAGACTACTAGTGCCCAACACAGTTGTAGTAATCCCAGTGTCAAGACCCTTGCGATGGACCATCTGAGGTCTACGACATTTGAATCAGGATTGATACCTTTTCACGAGGAGTTTCATGAAGCATTGAGGACAGGCACCATAGAATGATTCAAGTAAGGGGATGATCTGATGGTCTCGTCCTGTACTAAGGTTCCCACTTTCACTTTCAAGACGACACTGACTTCGGTGGCCCACCTGCACCGGGAGGCGGCCCAGGAGCCTTGCCAATGTCCTCCTTGTTTCGGGTGAGAAACGCAAGTGGCAACATGGGTGCCCATACAGCAATGTTGTCTGGTGAAGCTGGCTCGCGCTGAGGTGGGTTGTTGCAATTCACCAAATCCCCGTCCGCATAATGCTCCAGTACGAACGCATCAGTATCGAACCAGTAGTCAAAAATCTGACTTCCAAGAAGATGTCTGCCTATGCCCCAAACGAGTGACCATCCTCTTTTGGCTAAAAAATTGTGACCCTTCAACTCGCTATCAAAGTCATCGACCTCGAAACTGCAATGGTTCGCGGTGCATCCCGTGATATCCCCTGCAGAAACGAAAAAGTTCTGAAAACACATATTAATAAGCGACCGTATTTAAAAAAAAAAGGGGGTTATGGGACTTACGTGATGGTCAACGTACTCTTCACCTTTATCGAGGTGCATGAATGTCATGATATCTTTCCCGTTCTGTGGATTGAAGAGAGAATCGGTCGCTGTGAGCGTGAGAGTGTCGAAGTACCATTGGCGGACCTTCTCAAAGTCTGCATGGTTTACTTCATAACCATAGTGTCCCAATTTGTGGATGTCACTCGGTCCGTCATCGAAGCGTTGGAACTCTCCTTTGCGAGACTTTGTGTCCCACGTGTTGTAAGTCAACTTCTTGGGCACCTCGTCTTTGGCGATCTTGCGTTCTCGGTGGCCCCAGTGAAGGTGAACCAAGCCTCCAGCAGGGTCACTCAGCGTGACCTTGTCGCCTCCTATTACATGATCGGCCTTTGAAATGGGAGACGCACCGGGCAATTGAGCGGCAGCTTGGAGGTCGTCATAGGTGTCAACACTCCAGCCGCCGCCGAGAAAAGCCGGCCTCCCATTTTCGGACTTCTCGGAGATGTAGCAAATAGGGCTTTCACCGAAACCGCGATACCAGATCTTGTCCGACTTTTTTTCCACTTTGATGAGGCCAAAGTCGGTCAAGAAATCGTCTGTCTTTTCGATATCAGCATGTGTATACCAGACATACATAAGGCTCTTTAGACGAATTCGCGTGGCAGCTGAAGAAGCCATGTTATAACTGGGTATGGAGTGGTATGGAGTGGACTAGAAACACAGGTGTGATATTGGAGTCAAATTGATGATAATGTTGGAGTGCAAAAGTACACATTGATAATGTATAATTAAATGATTTCATAAATCCTAGGACGCAATGACGGAGAACATAAGAAGCGAGCGCCGAGGTCAGAAGAATGATGAAGCAATGGTTCGGCTGGTCTGGGCCTTAGACGTGCGCGGCGGTGTCGGTCTCATGTTCCGTAGAGCCCGGATCTCGCTGTATCCATCGCCGCGACTCTCCGAGAGCACAATTTTGGAGCCTAACCGTTTCGAGTTATGTGAAGTTCCGAAACAGTAAGCCGACATGGAGAGTCTTACGACTTTCCTTCAAAAGCTGTAAGGCTTTCTCTATCTATTCTACTTGATCATTCGAAAAGGTCAGAGCTGGTCAAAACCTATTAGCTCAGAAAGCCTGCCAGAATAACCCGCCATCCAGCATGTCATTTGAACGTCTGATTCGGTTCGTCGATGACGAGGGAAGGACATCATACGGCGATTTGGATAAGGTTCTAGCGGCCAAAGAAATTATTGGGATTCAAGTCAACGTTGTTGTGGGGAGCTTAAAATACGGCTTCACGAAGACGAATGAGAGTCGCACCGTCAAAAAGGTTAGTGTTTCAAATTCCGGCTGAGGATGGAGGGTCTAATATTGTGTTAGTTGCTCAATCCGGTACCCGACGCACCCTCAGTACTATGTGTTGGTCTCAATTATAAGCTTCACTCCAATGAAACAAACGTACAAATAGCCCCCAATGGTTGTTTCTAAGACTGTAAGAGTCGCTGACATGTCAGGAAAGTTCGTCATTCCGACCAAACCCGTCATTTTCATGACCCCAGCTGAGAGACTAGCTGGGCCACTCGACGATATCATTGCTCACGAGGATGCGCAATTTATGCTGGACTACGAAGGGGAGCTAGCCTTTGTCTTGTCCAAAGACGCAAAGGATGTGAAGGAAGAGGATGCCCTCGACTATGTTCTAGGGTATACTGTCAGCAACGATGTTTCCGCAAGAAGCTTGGTTCCTGTGGAAATCTCTGGAAATCAGATGGGCTATTCGAAGTCCTTTGATACTTTCGGCCCCATCGGCCCTTGCATCACGTCGGCAAGGCTAATTCCCGACCCTCAAACACTGCACATGGTGACAAAGGTCAACGGCGGAAAGAGGCAGGACACTCAGACTGCTGAAATGATCTTTGGCGTTAAAAAGCTGATCGCTTATGCGTCAAAGAACCGTACCCTGAAGCAAGGGACAGTCGTCATGACTGGCACACCCAATGGTGTCGGCTGGTTTTCCAATGGCTTGCTTACTCATGGAGACATAGTTGACGTTGAGATCAGCGAAATTGGATCTATTTCCAACAAGGTTGTGTTCAAGTAAATCATCGCATGATGTAAAGTAGTCTAGAGAACCCATAATAGGAGTCAACCTAGACTTGAATTTGATTCAGGTTTGTTTTGCACATTATTCGTTGGCATAATTCAATAAAGTGTACAAACAACCTTGTGTTAATAGGCCTTCAAGGGTCGATCACTCAATTTGGACTGCCATTCAAAGTTACATGCAGTCTTTCGAAACTACCGAGGAAGGCATGTCGTAACTACAGTCGAGGCTTTTAAGTCCCAGTTCTCCTACAGCTGCTCAGTCCGACTATGGCTTCAATTCAACTATGACCGTAGAGCAGACACAAACAAGTCATCACCTCAGTTGAAACTGCAAATAGGGTTTTTGCCTTCAGAGAATGGGCTCCGTGAGAACATCTGCTGAGTTGATTGATGTACATTCATGGATGGCTTCGTAGTGGGGGCGGCACAACACAACGCGCCGTTATCAAGTTTGAATCATCGAAGGTTCGGCCTTTCGGCGCCGAATTAGTGGGGCATGGCCAACCCCGGAACCCAGGTGGGGGCAAGGTGACATTCGGAGCTCGGGGCATAGACGCCGGAAAGCAGTGAAGCTCGGAGAGCAGACCGCGAAGCAGGAGAGGGCCATTTTCATCTTGAGTAAGCAAACAAAAGTCACGAGCGATGTTGTTTTCTTGCTATCCACTCGGATCGTTCCAAAATAGTCCCAAGATAAGACCATGGTGATCCACGACGCGACGGACCGAGAAGCTTCGTTGTAACCATTCACTGCAGCTATGCCTGGGCAAGGTGGATGCTGATGCTCGCATTCTTTCGGACTCGGGGTTCTCGGAACGCGGAAAATGAATCCTAGTACGCCCAGCTACCAGGGGCTTCTTTTCCAAGGCGACGTGAGTTTCGGGTTGGGAATGAAGGCGAATGCCGCAGGGCTACAGAAGTAAAGCTTGAGTATTCACAGCAATTGGTGCACAGATGATCAATCACTCGTTGAAATAAATGAGAGCAACGTGATGGCTGATGTTTGCTGTGGAACTGGGTGGCGTAGCGGCGGTCTCACAATAATTCAGGCTAGTCTCGGCCGTGGTTCACCGAGGTTCCGTTGCGTTGCTGTGAATTTAAACGAATGATGTCATCGCAACAGACTGAATTGAAATTCAAAGCAGTCGCGAAAAATCACTCAGGCATGTTGACAATGGCTGCCCTGTAAATCTAGAGCCCCAGACCTTGCGTCGCCATGTTATCACCCACTAACTTCCCAACGGTCCGCTCTCGCAGACGTCAACTTTAACTTTAATCTTAATAACCTTACAGGGCAAATGTTAAGTGGCTCGCATTGCACATCATGCGACACCAAATATTGGGCCAATCTCATTCGTTTGTAGAGCAATGATAAAAGTTACCCATATCACGGGAAATGCTTTCGTGCCAGAGAAGCATGGCAATTGAAATAGCCAGGCTAAGTTATTGGCTGACTGTTGGAGCTTGGAAAGACCATTGATGAAGAGCATCAAAGCCTGGTAGTGTATACAGGCCCTTGAGCGCACGGCTTCTATCGCCTAACATACGTGCTAGGTACTCAAACCTTTGTCATCTCCATTATTTCTTTTATGAATTCCCCAATTACCTCGTTGATGTTCCTGTCGCCAGGAGGCAACATTTGAGTTCCGAACGCGCCCGCAACGCCCCTTTCCCGATTGACGAACCAAGCCATCCCAGGCATTGCCCCCCAACTCAGAGTATTTCGAGGCAGAAGGGGAGTATCATCGAGGGTGACAAGTCCACCCATGCCGAATGATAGCTTACCAAGGGTTTTCTCGCCTCCAGTGAGATTTTCGTGCATGAACTAAGTCACAACCGCTTAGTTGGTACGTGTACTCTATATGAAGGCTCTTTGGCGGAGAGAATGAGTCGGGGTTGTCACTTACTGGCATGTTCATCAACCCCAGAGCTTGAGGACCGGTCTTGGAAAACTGTGGCGTGAACATGACGTCCACCGAGCTACGTTTCAAGATAGTCGGAGTGTCTTTCAATAAATCCGCCAGGATCTTGATATGATCTCCGACACTGGTAACAATCCCGATCCCGCCGGCATCAGTCACGGCATCTGCCGGATACCACGGAGCTGTCGGGACTAGATTTCCATCCGGAGTCCTCATGGCCGTATCCATCAGCTTTGCTTTGATTTCTGGACGAGAATCGGGATGAAACGTCGTGTGTCGCATTCCTAGAGGATCAAGGATGTTCTTCTGCATATATTCCCCTAGCGTTGTGTTGTTAAGTCGCTCGATAACCACACCTGCCCAATCTAGGCCACCGCCATATGCCCAGCTCTCGCCCGGCTCAAAGATCAACGGGGTAGAGAAAGCCTTGATGACATTGCCACAGAACGAGAGTGGGCCCTCTCCTCTGGATTTCCGCCAGTTCATCAACAACGGGGTTCGCCCGTCGTACACTATACCGCTTTGGTGAGTCAAGAGGTGTCGTAAAGTGATCTTGTTCGTGGCCGGCGTCAGGACAAGGCTGCCATCTGCCCCATCTGAAAGGATGTCGGGGTTTTTGAGTTCTGGTAGAAGTGTCTCAACCTCGTCATCTAGAGCAATTTGTCCTCGCTCGACAACGTGCAGTGCAGCTACCGTGGTCAGAAGCTTCGTCCACGAGAAGGCCCAGTAGGTGGTGTCTTCGTCGGGCACAGTATCGCTGTCGAACTTGACGCGTCCAGCGCCTTTGCTGTAGATCGTGTCACCTGGCGATATTCAGTAATTAGCCTCCCAGTAACTCCGTGACACAGATTGATGATTCGCTATGGTTCTGGGGACATGATGACCGTACCAGCTTTGTCGACAGCCGCCGCAAAAACGCCAAATACATCATTTGCCTTATTGGCAGTACGGGCAGTGAGGATGTTGTCTAATGTCGTCATCTTGAGTGTAGGAAGTACGTGCGATGCGGCAGTTCCGGTTTTGATCACAATGGTCAACGCCACCCCCTCCTAGTCATGCCACCTCCCCTTTTATATTTTGGCTTTGGAGAGGGTAGACCCAGCATAGGCAGTGATCGTGGGGCCCCACAATCGGACTCAACGGACGACGTCCAATTGTCCGAAGTATTATTGTCCGAGGTGTCATTGCCCGGCGGGCAATGAGACCGCAGCCCATCCCAATTTTGGATACACAAACCGGCTGCAAAGGCTTTCGGGCTCCGACATGCCCAGATTATCAAAACGCGCGGCTATGGTGGGTTGGTTGCTTGACCCCTGGATGTCCAATGATAAGGAACCTGGGTTATCTCCAAGCTATCTTGGCTTGCGAACCCCCCCCCCCCTCTCCCCCGGCCCTGCTTAGTGATAGGATTGGAGCGATTGGCTCTACTCTGAGATAAATCGCATTTGCTCTTCACCTCCAGCTTTATCTAGCGATATGCGGATTCTTGCTTCTCAATTAGCCTACGATCTCAGCATTTCGATTCGTGGGAGAATCAAACCAAATAAAAAATGCCACCGTTTGACCACGAACCTGAGGAGATGGATGAAACTATTGTGATTCCCCAACAATCTGACGTAGGGTCAGGTCCATCTGCCCAGAATAACGCTACGCGATCGTGTTTACTCTGCCGTAAGTCCAACCTGACATGGAATGTGGTGACCTAGCTTGAATGTCTGCATCTCTGGTATTACTTATCATCTCTGACTTCATGGACACCAATAGGTAGGAGAAAAGTTAGGTGTGACAAGAAGAAGCCTTGTGACGGCTGCTCCAAAGCTGGCGTGGAATGCGTTTATCCTATGGGCCGCGCAAGCAGACGACAAGGTACTCCTGACCCAGAGCTGACCAACCGTCTGAAAAGGCTCGAGGATGTAGTCAGGAGGCTTGGATCGTATCTTGGAGAGGAAGGCATACAACAGGCTCTCCACAACGCCGCTTCACAATCGGCAAATGGGTGTCAGCAATCTGCACCCCCTTCAAGCTCTGATATCAACAATATTTCCATAACTACACCGCCTTTGTCTCTGGGACAACATCAACAAGAAGACGTTCGTCATATATCGTCAAGCCCGGAATCTGGGAGGCTCGTGAGGGAGGAAGGGAAAAGTCGATATATCAATGGATCTTTCTGGGCGTCTTTGGGCATTGAGGTAGATTGCATAAGGCCTCCTCCCATCATTTACCTTCTATGAAATATCCGTATTCAAGAAACTGACAGATTCCAGCTCGGGAGCGACGATGGAACAGCAGATGATCCAGGGTATGATGCCGATTTCGAATCTCCCGAGTCTCGTTTCGGAGCCGACTTCAACCCTGTTTTTGGCAACAGCGCCAACTCACCAGTGGACCCACGAACACTGCATCCAACATTTTCATCGCATCGCTCGGCGATGTGGTCCTTATACAAGGAAAATGTCCATCCGGTTGTCAACTTATTTCACCTTGCATCCTTAGAACCTTTCTTCCACGAATCATCTGAGATGACATTTGACATTCCCAGTAGCACGGAGCTCGCCATGTTTTGCATATACTTCGGGGCTATCACCAGTATAGACGATGAAGACTGCCAAGTTTTATTCGACGAAGACCGTGGGCACCTCTTAGCGAAGTATAGGCTTGGTGTTGAGAAGTCTCTCGCCAGGTCCAACTTCATGGAGACGGACGACCGCATGGTTTTAGAGGCTCTATGCGCTTTTCTCATTATTCTACGCCGACATAACGCAAGGTTGTCTTGGAAACTATCCGGGCTCGCGATAAGGTTGTCCCAGTCCTTAGGAATCCATCGTGATGGTGGTTTACTTCGTCTTCCTTTCTTCGAGGCCGAGATGAGGCGGAGACTTGCGTGGCAGCTGTGCAACATTGACGCCCCAGCTTCAGAAGACTACGCTTGTGACCCATCCATGTGAGACCAAACAATTCTATACCCCCATCTCGACGGGAGCGAATACTGACTGGACGCGTACGCAGACTCGAAATGAGTAGCTTCGATGCCGGGACACCCATCAACATCAATGATTGCGACCTAAAGCCCAGCTTAATCGACAGGCCACACGAAATCCAAGGCTTTACCGAAAGCTCATTTCTCCGGGCGCATGTTGAGATTACACGCCTCTGGCGTTACGTCTTTGATTCTCGGCGACCCCTTAGCCTAGGAGAGAAACCGTTGGAACGCATGACAGAGGTAGAAAAAGATCAATGGCTTAAGGACTGTCGTGAACGCCTCAAGCGTGATCATCTGAAGTGTTTATCACTTTGTGAACCAATGCAATGGGTAAACTTGCTACTTTTTCTTTTCGAGACCCCTTTTTCTGCTTTGTTGTGCCGCATATCTCCCTCCAATATTGACTTGAATCTCTCCAGGTCACAGCGTTATACGTGCGACTTATGCTTCTAGAACTGAAGCTCAATGTCTTCAAGCCTTTGCAAAACACCGCGAGATTCAATGCTACTAGGCGAAGAGAGCTATTTATCTGCTCTCTCGAATGCATAGAGACGTCCTACAGGCTTCAGAACGACCGCCGCAGCGAGAAATGGGCATGGTTCTTCAAGTCATACTCCCAGTGGCATGCCCTGGCCTTTGTTCTACATGAATTACGGGAACGAAGAGCTGGAAAGGATGCCGGGAAGGCCTGGCGAGCGGCGGAACGTATGATGGCATCCAGATGGGAGACGCCGTGCGAAAATTACAGAGGCGGGCACCAGTGGAACACAATCTTGCGCATGTGGGAGACGGCGCGGGCTGAGAGTCGTAAAGTGACACGGTCTCCACAACAAGACATGGAGATTGCTCTAGGAGACCGCCTCCGGACTACGACTAACGTAGACCGAATGTCTCGTAAAGACTCCTTGATAACGACGGCATCATCTGACCTAGCAAATGCGATGTCAGAATCAAGCGGTACGCAGTACCCAGTCGGAAATCATCAGGAATACACCTCTTCTGGAGGACGGTCATTCCCGAAACGAGCTGGGTTCTCTATGTCGGCAATGGAAGACTCTCCGGAAGACAGGTACAGCAACGTCTTCAGTGAAGAGACACTAGTGATACCGGGGGTAGATGACTGGACGCAAGGCTTCGAGATTGAATTAGAGTTATGAGTAATATGGGGGGAATTACTGCAACGTCCTTATGATCAGACTGGAATATCTAAGTAATGACCGTGCCGCCGCAAAGACCTCAATCCCCAACCTAGAATAGTGAAAATGGAAGGAGCGAGATTCAATCCCAAGAAGACTGTTAGGTTTCTGTGATGAGATCAATGTCGGAGTCGTCGGCGTTATGGCCCCGACTTCGTTCGGACAAGACGCGCGAAGGTGTCCTGCCTTGTCAACAGTTGACCAACGGGACTAAAATTGCCCTCGGGCTGACTCGGACAGATTTCGCGAACACCGCCTGTCAAAAATAGTGCAAGACACGTCACCAATCAGCTCGACACGATACCACCTCACGAAAATGAGAAGCCAGGATCTTGACGATAAGCACCAAAGGATGAAGAATATCGGCATACCTTTAGTACCCTTGGGTAATAGGTGATAGGTTACTTCGGGAATGCAAGACACGAGTCGACAAGATAAGAAATCACAAATAAAAAGGATTGTACAGACGATAGAGCCATAAATCACGATCAACGGTTTACTCTAAGTGGTTCCGTGTTCTGGTGTGCCGGAAAGCAATACATCAGTCAGCTTTTCTCTCCAAGTCTCAAAGTCAAACCTTATGAAACCGTTCAACTATGGATATCTTGAAGAAAACGGAAGACACCATAGGCTTCGAAATGAAGCAGGAACCTCGTGACTCTTTTGAGCGGGGTACCGCGGTCGCGTTTGGATCTCCCGATATCGAACAGCTGCCAGAGTTTCGGCAACGGTTCAATTTCTGGTCAGCCGTTGCTATGGGGGTTTGCATTGCTGGAACTGTGAGTCAACCAAAGCAATAGAATCAAACCTACAACTTCCTCGACCCTTCATTCAGCAACACTAATGCGTTCGGCGTCAAAGTGGGAGGGCATAGGATCGGTTATCCTGCAGGGATTCAGCCTAGGAGGCGCCCCGACAGTCTTTTGGGGATACATACTTGCAGCGGTCGGCTTCACATGTGTCTCTGCGTCCTTGGCAGAATTGGCGAGGTAGAGCTTCTGGAATCAGATGGATCCCTCTACCCGAAAGCTTCTAACACCTCAAATGTAGCATCTGGCCAACAGCGGGCGCCCAGTATTACTGGACAGCAAGACTGTGCTCAGAAAAGTGGCGTCCCCTTGTAGTGAGTGGATGTTCTTCCAAGACTTCGTTTCCACCCCACCTTCATTGACTCTAACTCATAAACTCACCTGCAGTCATATTATGTCGTTTGGGCAAGTCTATGTGGGCTTCTTCTTTCCGCGGTGTCTGTAGCCGTGGGTGTTGTGCAACAGATTCAAGCCGCAGTCATGTTGCAGAACCCTGACTACGTGGCCCAGCGTTGGCATTTGCCTTGCGTAAGTTCTACCAGGGATTGCGAATTCCTCTATAATCTATTGCCAGACATTGCAAAATATCCAAGACTAACTTGATTTGTAGATGTATTGGACGCTTTTCACCATTCATCTGATGATCAACATATTTGGCGTCAAACTCTTCACTTCCATCAACTTTGGGGGTACCGAGAATCATTTTTCTCCCTTTACCCTCGACCTGTGCTAACAGGCCGCAGCCGCAATCATACACATATCATTCCTCTTCGTCACCATGATTGTTCTACTCGTCACGACCGAGGACAAGAACAGCGCTGAGAGCGTCTTCTTGGAGTTTCAGAACACTTCGGGCTGGCCAACCAACGGGATCGCCTTCTGGATTGGCCTAATCACGGCATGCGCTGGATTTGGCGGCATCCACTCTGTCGTCATGTTCAGCCAGGAGACCAAAGACGCAGCAAAGAATATTCCGCGGGCGAGTGAGTTGTCTTGAGACGATGCTGACTATAAGGTGTCGACAAACATGCTAATGACTCTTAGTTCTATGCTCTTTGGTCATCAACGCGCTGCTGTGCCTGCCCTGGGTGCTCGCACTGCTCTTCTGTACCGGCAGCTTGGACCGCCTGTTGCAGTCACCTGTCAGCTTCGTCAGTCCGATGGCACAGATTTACCTGAACTCAACAGAAAGTATCTCCGCAGCGGTATTTCTACAGATTATGACCTTCACCGTTGGCGCCGGAGCAAGTATGAACCTCGTTGGCTCAGCGGGACGCGCCATCCACTCGGCCGCCCGCGATGGCGCTTTACCCCTGATGCTATCCAAGATTCATCCAAAATGGAACGTTCCCGTACGGGCGCTCTTCGTGACATACGTCGCCTTATGTCTCATCTGCCTGATCTACATATGGAATACTACGGCATTCTTCGCCTTTCTATCGGCCTTTCTCATCCTACAGATGGTGTCGTATATCATTCCAATCGGGCTATTGATGTACCACTCCATTGGCAAGGAGTTTGAGCTTGGGCCTTGGCAGATGGGCCCTCTCCGTGTCGTCATTCACACAATCTCAGTGGCATGGTGCCTCCTGTTGATCGTCTTCCCGTCGTTCCCGACTACACTGCCAGTAACGGCGGCGAACATGAATTACTCGAGTGTCATTGTCGCCGGCATTTTTGCGCTAGCGACAGCTCTTTACTTTTCTTATGCCCGAGGACGATTCACAGGACTCACACTGGAACCTTTGGTAGGCGTCAGTGTCGGCGAGAAATGAAGTCCCAACCCCACATCTTTGGTCTAAGTGGGCTTCGGCGTCCATGATGGAAGCCGCTCCATAAGGTCTGTCGCAATAAGATATTCAATGTGAACAACCATATAGTCAACTTATCCTCAGATTCCTCAATTTAAGACTCATTTGACCTGAGCCGTTCAAAATATTGAAGTTCGCATGTCTGTATATTTTACTCACATAAGGCTTGGAACGGCAACAGTCAACCCCAAAAGAACACTCTTCGCAGGGCCCCTTGATAAGAGCTCTGAAAGTCGAAGACTCCTGGTCATCATTGCATAGCTAATAATAATTGACATGGGATAATTGAGATGTCGGTATGAAATCTGAATGCCTCATGCAGTCTTTGCGAAATCTAGTCTAACCGTCATTGACATGCTGATCAATTCAGGAACCCAATCGTTCTACCAGTAAACGCCTTCTTTTGGCAATAGTGGAATTGCCAAGTCTTCCAGTGTTCCTCCTTTTCCGCTGAGGACATCCTCTTTGACTGTGTCATACCATTCGTCTACCACAGCCTGAGCATCAAAATCTCTGACCCGTGGGAATCGCTTCAAAGCCCACTCCTTTGGGTTAGCTTCAATAGTTGCCCAATCGACCTTATGCAAGGCATCTCTATGCACAATTGCGTTCGCATGAAACTTATTGGCCCGGTGATACCTGATTCTCTGGGCAATCTCAAGAGCCAACTGGACGTTACCATTAGATTTCCCGAGGCAGGCGGCAACCGTCACGGCGTCTTCAATGGCCTGGGATCCACCCTGCCCGGAGGTTGGAAGATGGGCATGGGCGGCGTCGCCGATGAGGATGATGCGACCGCTCTTAGACGTCCACTTCTTGATATGAGGCCGGTAGACGAGCTTGAAATCAATCAAGCATTCAGGCGGAGTACATTCCAACAAAGCCTTGCACTCGGGCGCGAAGGGGGCGATGAAGGGGTCGATTTTGGATTTCGGCACGCTATGCGACCAAGATTCCTCGACGTCGTCGTTGTCCGGGTGCATCATAACCCAGGCGACCTCCTTCCCGCCATTCCAAGAATACGCGAGAATACTGAGGTTGTCATAGGCCCATGCTTTAATGACGTCTTCGTCATTGCGAAAGAAGTCCTTGAGATCGGGATGGGTCAGAGCCTTCTCGCTCGCGGTGAAGTAGGACCTGAAAATCGCCCATCCACTCTTCTCTCCCTCATTTTGGAGGCCGAGGACGGCTTTGCGCGCGAATGATCGGCTTCCATCAGCTGCAATGATGCAGTCAGCCCAAAGGGTTTTTCCATCTTCGAAAGTGACGCTAGCCCGGTTGTCTTCTTCGGACTCCTTATACTCAGTAATCGACTGGCCTAGCTCAATTTGAACCCCAAGACGGCGAGCGTACACCATGAAAATCCCATGTTGTTGCCCCGGTGAGCCGCAAAGGTCCTTGTTCGATCCTCATCTTTCATGAACCACGGTACAGGGTAGAGGAGCTTGCCATCATACTTGTACATCTCGAGCACATCAGACTCGCAGCCGATGGACAAGATCTCCTGCCCCACTTTACCTTCGTCCCATCTGGAGATGACAAGACCCCCGTTGACAAAGAAGTCGATGATATCTGACACCAGTTAGACTGCTCCCTCGATGCAGAGCTAGAGCGCGCAGGTGTGAATGTGGAAAAAGCGAACTCACCTCCGCGGGTATTTGAGTCGGCGTAGCGCTCAATAAGAGTGACTTTCATGCCACGCAGACGACACTCGATTGCTGCAGAGAGACCCCCGAAGCCGGCACCAACAACTATTACCTCGAGAGGCGCCATGATGGTGATGCAATTACGTTGGAAGCTGAACTTGGAGATAGGTTAGGAGGTTTGGAGAAGTCTGGATGAGACAAATGGTTGACAAAATGAATGGAGAAAGATCTATGAACTTGGTTTCCGTCGGCCGCTGAAAAGACGATTTAACATGATTCCCTACCCGCAAAGGCTTGTGAGCATGTGCAATAGTTTACTGACTTACCGCGAACGGAGTTCCGAGAGGATGGGCCAGGCACATTGTCGCTCACAAATCTCCGTAGCTCCGAGTCAATTCATTACATCTCATCCCGCCCCGGAGCCGCTGTCCGAACTGCCAAAAGCTTCGCCAGAAAGTCTGTAGAGAACAAAACGTTCCTGAATTTTTGTCGCACGGAATCGAACAATCCAAGATAACAAAATTTCATTACATGTCAACGAGGGCACAATGTCTTCGTCAGCAACATTCAATACGGCTTCTAGATTCGAAACATTGCAAATACACGCCGGCCAAAAGACTGATCCGGTCAGTAAATCGAGAGCCGTACCCATCTACCAAACGGCGTACTTCAATTTCGACGACTCAGCACACGCGGCAAGATGTTATGGCCTAGAAGAAGAGGGAAACATCGGCACCCGAACAATGAACCCAACTACTGATGTGTTGGAAAAGCGGATGGCGGCGCTCGAGGGTGGACTCGCTGCTGTTGCGGTTGCCTCTGGGCAGTCGGCTGTCTTTATGACCATGCTTTGTCTTGCCGGGCGAGGCGAAAGCATCATCTCAACGGCCAACATGTATCATGGGGCATACAACCAGTTCAGCTTTCTATTGCCAGATCTTGGCATTTCTGTCGCAATCGTTCCAGAGACGCCGGAGTCTATCGAGGGAGCGATAGATGAGACCACAAGGGCCATCTACATCGAGAGCATGGGCCACCCACGTATGAACGTACCCGATATCGAGGCCATCGCTCAGATTGCACACCGACATGGCATCCCCCTAGTCGTAGACAATACAGCTGGAGCTGGAGGCTACTGGTGCCAGCCAATCTTATACGGTGCAGATATCGTGACCCATAGTGCCAGTAAATGGATTTGTGGTCATGGGACCTCCGTCGGCGGTGTCGTTGTCGACTCCGGCAGATTTGACTGGCATAGTCCGAGGTTCACGAGGCTCAATCAGCCCAACCCAGGCTTCCACAATATCAACTTTCACGAGTCTTTTGGCCGGCTTGCCTTCGTGAGTCGCTTCAGGCACCAAATCCTCCGCGACTCTGGGGCCTGTCTGTCACCTTACAATAGCAGAGACCTCCTTATCGGGCTTGAGACGCTTAGCTTGCGGTGCGAGAAACACACGCGGAACGCGAGAGAGCTTGCTGTTTGGCTGCGTGACCATCCAAAGATTTCGTGGGTTGACTATCCCGGACTGGGAAATCACCCGGAGTATTCCGCCGCTACCAAGTACTTTCCGCGTGGTGCCGGGGCCGTCATGTTGTTTGGCATTAAAGGAGGCGCGGCTGCTGGGGAATCACTTGTGGATGGCTTCAAGCTCATCACACATATGGCCTCGTGAGTCCTTTCCCCTCACGCAAGAGAAATTATGTTTCAATCTCCGAGTTTCATGTTCTTTGATGGATTGACTGTCACTAATGACCATATGATATAGATTCGGTGACGCCAAAAGTGCGGCAACACATCCTTGGTCATCTACACACAAGCCGATGTATCCGAAGGAGAAGATTGACCTGGGTGTCACTGAAGACATGATCCGCATTTCAGTTGGTTTAGAGCATATTGAAGATCTGAAAGAGGACATACAACAGAGCATCAATGCCTATGAGGAAACCGTTATTTCAGGAGTATCTAGTGTATCTTAGGGTCAATGCAGACTGCAGCCTTTCGAGAAATCAGAGGCGGAGACACATAATTGATGCCTGGAAAAGAAACCGTAAACCGACTTTCGTTTCAAATTGTTGAGCTGTGTGAAATGCCTTAGGCTGGTCAACATCAGTCGGCCCATAACTAAGATTTAACCGCTACACTCAGTTGTGAGAGCATATCATGATTGTCATTCCGCGTGGCCCCTGCAACGACAAAGTGACGCATTTTGCGTTGAGGAATCATTCTCCGGTACAATGGCTCATCTGCAGCACTTGATGGTTATGGTCTTCATGTAAGGCCGATTTGCGCATAGCCGAAATCTGGAGCCTGTCCCTCGCATCCCGGCTCGGCATTCCACGCTCCGAACAAAGACGCCTTTCTGCTGATAAGATGAAATTCGCGCTCGAAGCCCGAACGTAAACGCATTTCTTCTCAACTGCTCGGAACTTGCGGAAACAATCTCCCGCCGGACATGTCAAGTTTGAGACGTCTACTTAAGCCATGATTATGTCGAGGGTAGAAGACGAGGCTATTCGCACTCGATTCGCACTCGAATCCATATTTACGAGCACAGTTTTGTCCAACAATTATCATGCCGCACCTCAACCAGTCACAAAAGGCTTCAATGAAAGGAAAGACAGCCGTCATATCTGGCTCTTCGGCCGGGATCGGCGCCGCCATCGCCGAGGAACTTTCGATGCGCGGCGCAAACATAGTGTTGAATTATCCCTTTCCACACCTGCAGGCCGAATGTGAGCAGGTCGGAGCAAAGTTACAAACCCCCTGGATAGCTGTATGCGCCGACATGTCAACTGTCTCGGGCCCTGCGGCCCTAGTCTCCGCCGCCGTGGCTCGCTTCAAGCAAATCGATATTCTGGTCAGCAATGCTGGTATGGTACCTCTCGGGCCTCTCGGGGAGGCCGAGGCCGACACTTGGGATCAGGCACTCAATCTCAACTCCAGAGGCGCGTTCCTCCTCGTCAAAGCCGCGCTGTCGCATTTGACGCCCTTCGAGCCTCTTGCAAAGCCGAGATCAGCAACACCGGCCGATTCACCTAAAAGAGGCGGATCCCGAATCATCATCGTATCATCAGTCGCTTCCCGCATGCCTGAGGTGAACCAGAGCATATATGCAGCGAGTAAGGGAACGCTGGATGCAATGATCAGGGTATGGGCTAAAGAGTTGCCTCCCATGTACGGATGCACCGTTAATGCGGTTGCGCCGGGGCCAATCAGCACACAGACATTCTTCAAGAACATCAGCTCTCACTTCGATATGGTCAAGCAGGAAATGGATCTTAGAACGCCTGTTGAAGGTGCTTTCGGTGACGTGGAGGATGTCGCATGGACCGTTGCATTTCTTGCCGAGGAAAGATCTCGATGGATTAATGGAGAATACCTCCTTCTCACTGGAGGTTGTTATATCAACTGATAGTGAGCAAATGGACATTCCTGCTAACTATGTTCAAGCTTGATATATTATGATTATTATAGAGTCGAATTATGATAAAGCTCTTCCTCCATCAACGCTGCTCTTGCCGACTTGGCTGGGCCAATGTTCACAATGCAGTCTTGACCAAGTCCTATACCAGCGAGAAAAGCATGCCATCACAACTTTTGGCAGCCACGAGATCGACCGTGATGGACAAGTATTCTGTGTGATTTATGAAGGACGACTGACATGCCATCTGTCCCACCGGCACAACCATGTTGGGAGCCCCACTCACCACTGAGATACAGCTTGCAGGAAACCTTTGCGGCGTCTGTGGCCCGATGGTGTAGGTATCTCTAGGGATCTCTTTTGGCGTTTGGGGAACGTATGAAACCAGACTATTCGAGCAAGACATAGAATCGCAGTGTTTTGGAGTTGCACCATCTCATGAAATGATGCTTGTTCCTGATGTAATCCCTAATGGTAGGTAGATGAGGATGCATCGCCGAGCGGCCAACGCAGTCTTGGCGCAGGGTTCATGTGAGGGTCCGAGGGAATTGGCTGGTCCATGTTTGCCGATGCGTATTTACGAGGCTATTCGGGTTAACCCCGATCCCATTCATTTTGCAACCTGGATGGCCAGGGTCAGGCAGTACCTTGATAGATATAAAGATGAGCGATGAAGACATGGAACTAGGGAAACTTGCTGCAACCATGCAACTCTTGCCCCGCTTTATGCAACTGGAAGCAGGATCGTAGGCTCCCATGAGCGAATTCCATTAGGCTGCAAAACACAGAATGTAGCCACGATCCCAGGAGTATGCAGTGCTGTCGCAATTTTAACTCATTGCCTACTAATTTTGTTCATTTTCAAGAGCTTCCGGGAAGGTGAGATCCTACGTCAGGGTTCCGACAGTACCATGATTGATTCTGCAGGCGGCGGATCAGCCGAGTGGATGAAGTCACTTTTAAAAGACTAAGAACGACCAGCAATTATCCAAATCTTTTGCGGGAAAAACCATGAAGGTGATGAATGCTCCAAGAATAATCGCAAGGCCACTGAAGAAGCGCGATGGTGTATGGCCTTCTCAGTTGCGACTTGTAAATAGGTGATGATCCGGTCAAGATGGGTTCTGTTCCGACCGGAGCAAGCGTTTTCCTTCCTCCTTCAGTGAACGTACCTTCTTATTATCGACCTGTATTTTTGACACAAACGGGTCACTAATGAAGATGTCAACCCGGCTTACAAGCTTTCTGTTGTTAGCTCTTGGCCACTATGCCTCGAGCCGAGCCGCGCATCAACATCGCTGGCCAAGAAGAACATCCGCGAACCAGCACCTACTCTATGAATTCGACTCGAATGGTGCCTGGTTTGATCAAGGTATAGCCCTCGATGGAAGCTCCGTATCATTCATGAACACCAATGTCTCCATTGACATCGTTGGAGCCGGTATCTCTGGTCTGGCTACAGGCCTAATGCTGGACAGTGTCGGCGTTCATAACTGGGAACTCACCGAGGCTAGCGACCGCGTAGGAGGAAGATTCCGAACAACCTTGGTTGGCGATACGGAGGAGCTCGCAGAGATGGGCCCAATGAGGCTGCCATATAAGGTCACACACAAGAGCGATAACTCCACACACGAGTGTACGGACCACCAGATGACATTTCAGTTGGCTGCGCTGCTAAACGAAATGAATAACAACGACCCTAATCTGACGATCGATTTCATTCCTTGGATTCAGCATCATCCGAATGAGCTTATAGCTCTAGGCACTGGAAGACACCCAGATGGCAGGATCCCAACCCGCGCGGAGATTGCAGCAAACTCCAGCCTTGGCGCACTCCCCGTTATGACTTCGGCCGAGTTCAACAACACCAAGACAGAGATGAACAAAATCCTCAAGAATGAGACACTTTTGAGAGAGATTCAAGCAGATGTTTGGAATGTACACAAGCGAGTTATGGATGAGGGTTATGACGACTGGAGCGAGCAGTCCTTGATGCGCAACCGCTTGCAAGCCGACGAGAATGTCACCGATGCCATCAGGACTGCGACCGACTATGATGTGTTTTGGGATGAGATGGTTCATAACTCCAACCTTGGTCTAGATGGATCGCCGGACTCTCTTGGAGAGACCGAATGGAAGTGCGTTGACAAAGGTTTCAACCGTATCTCGGACGCCTGCATTCCACATGTTTCCAGCCGCCTTATTCTCAACAGAAAGATCCACAAGCTGGAGTCATTTGATGGGCTTGATGGCCGCACACGAACTCGTTTGTCTTGGTATCCCAGCACGAAGAATAGAACATTCGAGTCCAAGGAGTACGACTATACCATCATGGCCGTCCCCTTCACTATGACTCGGTTCATGGACCTGCCCCAATCCTCTTCTGTTCTTGGTCGGGCTATCAGTGAGGCCGGTCTGCTATTCAAGTCGGCCTGCAAGGTCTCGCTCCTATTCTCTGAGACGTCCTGGGAGAAGAGTGAGCGGCCCATCTTTGGCGGCTATTCCAGGCCTGAAGACAAGGCCGCGGGAGCCTTGTACTACCCCGTCTACGGCTTGAATCAGTCTCGGCCAGGCCTCATAACCCATTACCGAGGAGGAGACTGGAGCGACAGATTTGCCAGTTTCACCGAAGAAGAGCATGTGGGCTTGGTGTTGGATTTGATTACTAGCCTCCACGGTGAAGAGGTTCGTGATCTGTGCACTGGGGATTATGCACGCCTTTGCTGGCTCGAGGATGAGCACACAGCTACTTCCTGGTGCCGTCCAGACATTCAGCAGCATAAGTTGTATATCCCATCATACCATCGAACGGAACACAATGCCATCTTCATTGGCGAGCATACAGCTCCGACTCATGCTTGGATCAGCTCGTCTCTGCACTCCTCTTTAAGAGGTTCGGTGCAACTTTTATTGGAGTTAGGATTGGTCAATGAAGCAAAAGAACTCAATGCAAAATGGATGGGTAGATGGATCAAAGGAGGAAAATGAGACTCGTCTTTTGGAATTGCATACGGTGGTCTGCTGCCTACGGAGACTTACTTACTGACCGCTTCGAGTGGGAGTCGGCAATTTAGTAATTTATGTAGTAGTTAACTAATTCCTCAGGATAAAATCCGCCGGTCAAGGGCCTACCCGAGTTGCGACCGGATTTTTGCTACTTACACGCTTCGCAGAATTCGTAAACTAGACTCTTTTGTTGTTTCAAACAAGTAGAACTTCTCAACGAGAACAGTTTTTACTGTTGTAGTTACATCTTCTCAATTGCTATCTTGGCCGCTGGGGAGAGCTGTGGAGCCATTCCTACGTTGTGCGGCAAGTCATCCGATTCTTATGGCCTGCCAGCTCCAACCGACAATCTCCGCACCTTGATAGGCATGGATCAGCGATTGCGGAAGGATTAAAGTGTATCGCTCCCCGCCTCTCGCAGCGTTGCGGCGCTCCGCATCGTCTGAGTTGATAAGAAAGGCAAGCGAGAAGCAGAGCATCATGTCTGAACCAAAGTCGGTCGCTATCGTGGGCGGTACGTGCAGAACTCCTAGTGATTTTTTGCAAGCAATTGATTGATTTCTATCAGCTGGCATTTTTGGCCTCTCTTTAGCCGTTGCTCTGAGCAAACGTGGTAAGCGCACGTTACTGCCATACCTGAATATCGTACTCGAACTAATCCTCATTTCTCAGACTACCGCGTGACTGTGTTCGACAGATACCGTTATGATGAGACGCACTACGAGCCCGACTTGAACGGAAATACGCAGGCGGCCTCAGTGGATCACAACAAGATCGTAAGTTTGCGGACGTTGAGAGCGCATTTCAAGCTGTACTCATATGATGTCTCTAGTTCCGAGCTTCTTACGGGAGTAAGCTTCATTACCAGCGTCTCGCGTTCGAAAGTCGTGCTGCATGGGAGAAAATCAATGAGAAGAGGCACCAAGACGGCGATGAGCCCGATCAATCAGAGCTCTTCAGCGGGAGCGGCATGCTGCGAGTTCAGCCCACCGCCGAACTAGATCCACTCGAGCGTGAGACACTGAGCAACTTTGAACGAGACGGCCTCAGAGATACTCAATTCGTCAAGAGCGATCCGATCGACCGAGCTCGAGCAGCTGAGCGTGGATGGGAAAGGAAGCTCCTGGATTTCGAAATCCCACAAGCCTCACCTGCTCAGACTTATGAAGCCGTTCTGGACTCAACTGCCGGGTTCACAAAATGCAGCGAAGCCTGTGCCTATTTCTACAAGTTGGCTCTCCAACAGGGCGTCGAGTTCCATTTTGGCTCCGAGAAAGGTGCCTTCGACAGTATTGTCGAAGAAATTGACTCACCATCACACCTGAAGAAGGCAGTCGGGGTCAAGACCAAAGATGGAGTCCTTCACAAAGCGGACGTCGTGGCCATTTGTGGTTTGCATACTCCTTTCTGCCACTACCTCCGAGGGTGGGCGACTAATGTTCAGCAGCTGGATCCTTCTCGACGCAGCTATTGCCTGATTTGTCCTATCACCTTGAGTCGTCTGCAGGAAGCGTAGTCACCTTCAAGGTGGACAAGAACGACGCAAAGTTGTGGGACAAGTACTCCCCTGAACGCTTCCCGGTCATCACTTGGAGGAGTGCACCACGCAACCCGAGCGGGAAAGACACCGGCAGTGTTTACGTTTTTCCTCGGACTGCCGATGGTCTCATCAAAATCGGGTTCCGAGGCATCAAGGTACTTGTGCATCGCTGTGTTCGCTCGTATCGGGCTAACCAGAACACCCTCCAGTTTACCAACTTCCAACATGCGCCTTCGGAGGCGGGCTTCACTCAGGACGGCCAATGGAGTGTGCCTCTCCCGCCTGCTGACTGCAGCATAGTCCCGGACCCTGCAAAGGAGGCCATCCGAAAGTTCGTCTCCATCTTTCTTCCGGAGTTCGCCGACAAGGACTTCAATTCGACTAAGCTATGCTGGTATACCGACTCTCTAGATAACTCTTTTGTTGTGAGTCAGCTCCACCCTAGATCAAACCTCTTCACTGACTGACCTTTTCAGATCGACCATGTGCCTACTTATTCTCAAGGGTCTGTCTTCGTCGCGACTGGAGGCAGTGGACACGGTGCCAAGTTTCTTCCCGTGCTTGGCGAGGTGGGTAGCAAAAGCTTCGACTCTTCTTGGCGTACCGACTGACAATAATTACAGCACGCAGCCGACATCTTGATACATGGTGACCAGAGTACTTCCTTCATGAGGCAGCACTGGCGCTGGAGGGATAACATTCGCAGGGGCAACGGCCTAGAAGAGGGCCCTGACGGCCCGAGAAACATTGGAGGATCAAAGGAGGCTTAGCTATTTGAACAGCATACTACTCAATGTCACTGTGCTTATTTTGATAAGTCCAACTCCCAATTTGATCACGGTCAATAATTGTATACAACAGTTATTTGAATCTGAGCCTACGCGCCATATCCCTAAGTGATTGGGAGTTTGACTTACGAAGCGAAAAATTGATGAACCGTATTCCTCCATCCTTTCTCAGGTATTAGTGGCTGACACCCCATCTCCACGAGACGCGTCAGTTCCCACCGTTAAAGGGCACACTGCTTCAGGCCGGTCGCCAAGAAGGCTTGTTCTCCGAGAGCCAAGAGTCCCAGACTGGTGTCATGCCCTGAAAGGATGGAATATAACGTCTTCACAGGGGTGGATTCGTTGGTCGCAAAGAGATCTGCACAAGACGCAGGGGCTGTGAGCAACCTTGATGTCCTCGCTTTCGCCCCATGCCGTTCCCACGCATCACCAAAGCAACTCACCGGTATTGCCTTCATCTACTGGTTGGTTTTGTCATTTGCCTGTTTAGGATCAAAAGCCCCATCTTGATTTCACCGGGGTTAGTCCAGCCGGCCTGTCGGGGATGACTTCTGATCCCTGTCTTACGCCACCTCTATGGTTGATGCTCTAGAATTACGAACCTGGAAAAGCAGAAGAGCCAACGCAAAGACAATCAGTTCATAATCGATGAACTGATGAGAATTTGGGGCTTCCGTGATGATACTTAAACCGTCCGAAACTCAATTCTCTTTCGAAAGCTATAAGAGCTGGGTTGTATGACTCCTCACAGACCACTTTCTTTACAACATATTTGACTCGAGGTTGCGGAGTCCAAGCTTTAAAATGTCGAGCGAAACAGATCATGAGAAAAAGGTCGTTAAAAGCGAACCTATCTCTCATTCAAAATCTAAACACACACCCAACGTAACTAGAGAAGCGAGATCTCCAGGAACGCACGCAAGACAACAGCATGCCGTCACTGAAGGCGAAGTCGACGATACAACGGTCTTCTACAATCTCAACAAGGACAAAACTGGGACTCTGACACCTGAGGATGAGAAGCGACTTGTTCGAAAGAACTTTTGGTTTCTCCTAGGACAGACATGGTGGATCGCCTTCCTTATCCATCTGGATAAGTCGACTCTGTCGCAAGCCAGTACGATGGGCATATTCAAGGATGTCGAGATGACCAAAAAGCAGTACAACGATCTATTTGTGGTGTTTTACACTGGCTATCTCATCGCTCTCTGGCCTGGTGCTTGGTTATCCCAGCGCACGGGTCAAAAGCAATTCATTGTCGGCTCCTTGCTACTCTGGGCGTTCTTGCTCGGCATGCACCCGCTTGCAAAGACGGGAAAGGAGCTTATGGCACTCAGATTCATCCTAGGCATGGTATGTGGGCCTCTCTTTCCTTTGTCACAACGTAAGCTTCGTTTATTGATCTTTCCCAAACATTCAGACCGAGTCGCAGATCGTTCCGAGTACCACAATCCTTCATCAGGCGTTTTTCCCTCCCAAGAAGTCCCCATGGGTCCAACTTCTTTGGTGGGCTTCGGGAAGCTTGGCCAATGTCTTGCTTACCATGGTCGCCTACAAGCTTATTCTCCTGGATGATAGTGACGCTCTTGTTGGTGGGCTGTCATCATGGAAATGGTTGCATATCATCTGTGTCATTCTCACATTCATCGTCTGCGTGCCTCTCGCATTCTTCTTGCCCAACTCTCCAGTGGAAGCAAAGTGGCTCTCAACAGAAGAGAAAATTCACACCATCTCAGCGATCCGCGAAGCTCATTCTGGCATCAAGAACTCTTCTTGGAAGTGGTCGCATGTCCGTGAGGCTTTCACGGATCCCAAGAGTTGGCTGTTCATGTAGGTCTCCTCGCGAAATCGACCTCCTCTACCACTTCCAACTAGTCTAACATTTCGATAGTTTCCACATGTTCTTCAACGAACTTCCCAACAACACATCGCAACAACTGCCGCTGATCATCGTCGGCTTTGGTTTTACAGCCGCTGAAAGCGCTTTATTCAACATCGCCAAGCCTCTGATTGGCTCACTCCTTATCCTTGTTTCAGCTGCTATGCTCTATGGAACTCGACTGGGAACTGGCTACACGTGTGCGATCTCGTATATACCATGCTTTGTCGGGGGTATTATCGAGGTGAGCGGCCAATGTCACGAGAGGCCAAACCAATACTGACTTTCATTAGCTGGCATCGCCCTGGTCCAACAAAATTGCTCTCGTGGTTGGCACACAGATTTCTACCTTTAAGCCCTCTTACCTTCTCGGCCTATCTTGGGCTGGAACAGCAACAACCGGCTACACCAAGAAACTCACAGTAATGTCCACATGTGTTGTTGCTGCAGCCGTCGCAAACATGATTTCTCCTGAGTAAGCTCTCTCCGCGGCCGCTAATGCTTGGTCCAATGACTGATGTGCTGTCTTAGATTCTGGCAACCCAAGTACAAGCCGCGTTACCGACTTCCCTGGGCCTTCATGACCGCCTTCTGGTTTATTTCTCCGGCAATGTGCCTCATCATTCGATGGTACCTGGTCCGTGAGAATCATCGACGTCAGGTGATCTTGGAGAGCGACGAAAGCGGAGAAGAGAATGAAATTCTGGACACGGGCGACCAAGTCATCCAGGTCCACAACGAAGATCTTGATCTGACGGATCGTCAGAACCTCAAGTTCATTTACCCCTTATAGGCTTGCAATGAGGATTCAACGGAAGGAAGAGTTAGGAACAACTCAGACGTTACGACAAATCATGCACTCGGAAGTACAGGTCTTTGGGACGCAGACATCTCACGTCGACCTCAAGTCTAACAACGAGGACATGAGAGTGTCTCCTTGTTCCCATTTCTTTTCTATAAGTTGATGTTCTCCTCATTAGGCGCTCCTGTCTGGTTCTGGAATAGTGAAAGGACAGCGTCTTTTTGTGTTGTCTTGTAAAAGTCGGGCGCCGACAGTATTAGAGAAAAAGTTGACTATTTAGGCACTCAACCCCAAGTAGCTGGATTTAACTAGAGGATTCGAGGTGGCAGGTGCTCGCGACGCCTTCCAGCAATATTCTATGCTCGCATACGTCTTTCCCATCGGATAAGCGCCTTATTAATGATACTTCTTCAATTCTGAGCTCATCAGGCACAAATTGATCCAATGCGTTTCTGAGTCAGCAACTATTCTGCAGCTACCGAACCTACGTGTCTCGCCGTGCCGTCTGATGCAGCGACGTCCCCAACACGAGAAGCCTGAGGGCAAAATACCTCCACAACCTTTGATAATGACAGCAGGTGCGGGACAAACACGTGCCCATGCCTTACACTTGTCATGTGCGATTGACAAAACCGCGGATCGTATTAGACTGCTATCGAGTCTCGACACTCATAGTGGACTCTGAATTCGGACTTCGGCGCCACCAGCCGAGTGCTACAAAGATTCCCCTCATTGCAACCCTCCCAATTCTTCCCCGTGGGGTATGCCTCAGCTATTCTCACTGGTCAGTCAGAATCTTGTGGCGCAAATTTCCGTCACAGCCCCTCTTCTTCTTGTCGATAGTCCCTCACCAACTGCGGCGCCGAGGCCGAAAGGGGTTCCAGATACTCGGTTGAGGTGATTCTTTTTTCGATGAAGAGATGGATCCACGTCCCGATCAGCGGTTGAAGATGCCGGCAAATGAGTCTAGCAGCTCCACATACAATGACGATGTCAGAGTACCGCCGTCGTCCCGGCACACGGTTTTGTGTTTAAAAGATGCGAAGAGTCTTCCAAAGAGGTCCATACCCATTGTCCGTAGAGAACGACGGGACAGTCACTTCATAATCGGCATAATGTTGTCGGCAATGACTTTAGCGTTATGGCTTCTGCCCACTACGAGCGTAGCGAAGGAGAATTTTACCACGCAATGTGACTCATTACCGAGCTTGGTCGTATCTCTAGCAAACGACATCGGAGTTATTGCGGCAAGTTACGTACCGACCAACTCGCTCAACGTATCTGGAGCTTTCAACCAAGTCGCATTCTGTCGTGTCAACGGCAGCGTTCCATACCTTGGAAACAATACTGTCTTCTTCGAAGTCTGGCTTCCAGAGACTGTCGCGTATAACGAGAGGTTTCTAGCTGTCGGTGGGTTCCAAGATCATTCATTGTGCCCGGGGCGCGAATTAATAAGAAGACAGGCAATGGCGGCTTGGCTGGTCGAATTGACTATGCCTCAATGGTAGAGAATGTCAACAAGGGCTTCGCAACTTCAGGAGGAGACAGCGGCCACCTTGCTTCAGAAAACAACAACGGCGATGCATACCCAGGTGGCATCTACTTGCCGTTCCTCCACGACAAGAATCAAGTCCTTGCATGGATCCGCAATTCTATCGCGCTCTTCACGCCTGCGGCGAAAGAAATCGCGACGTTTTACTATGAAAAGTCTCCGCAACATACCTATTACAAGGGTTGTTCGACTGGAGGAGCTCAAGGCTTTGCACTTGCTCAATATCACCCTGAGCTATTCGACGGCATTGTTGCCGGCTGTCCGGGTAATTGGTACTCACATCTGGCGTTGTCCTTTCTGTGGAACCAGCAGGTAACTCTGGTAAGCTCATGCTGTTCTGAGTCTATGCCTGCTCTTGAAGGGGCAGGACGTTACATCTCTTGGCTCAGGATGAAGTTCAGGAGATCTGCTAACACCTTTCAGGGTGCTTCGTTCCTGCCACAAGAATCGCTCGACTTGATCGCAAATACTGTGTTAGACAAGTGCGACACGCTAGACGGTGTTGAGGACCGAGTTCTCGAGAACCCACTGGCATGCACATTTGACTTGGACAAGCTTGCTTGCACGACGCCCGCAACTAACTCGTCATCTTGTTTGACATCTGAACAACTCACAGCTGCCAAGAACATATACGCGGGACCTCGCCATTCCCAGAGCAATACCAGCCTCTACCCTGGGTTTGATCTAGGGAGTGAGTCGGAATGGATGATGCAAGAGGGTCGTTTGTCCCTTTCGTTTTCTCTTCCTCTATTGCAAAACATGGTATTCGACGACTTGAGCTACAATGGCAGCACATTCGACTGGGCTAGCGATGTGGATGCGCTGGATCTCAAGGTTGGAAGCTTGATTGACTCCATCAGTCCCAACCTGACTTCCTTCAAGGACAGGGGAGGAAAGCTTATTGTGACGCAAGGATGGGCCGACCCTTTCAACGCTGCAACCTGGCCAATTGATCATTTGAACGAGGTCGCTCAGGCGACAGGTGGCGATCGAGATGAATGGCTGTCTTTGTTTATGGTTCCAGGTAAGTTGGAATAGCCGGCATCAACTTACCCTCCTCGAGCGCGTGATTGACAAAGTTCTTTATGTAGGTGGTGGCCATTGCGGAGGGGCCTCGAGTTATACTCACGTTCCTGGGAAGCAACACTCTCTCGAAGCCCTAGTCGAGTGGGTGGAACAGAAGAAGGATCCTGAAGCCCTTTTGGGGACATCGCCCGCCGATGGAAGCGAAAGGACCAGAAAGCTGTGCCGATGGCCTCGTACAGCCAAGCTGGTAGGGGCAGATGCTGACAATTGGGAGTCATTTGTCTGCGACTGAAGTCTTTGTGCGCAATGTAGTCTCTAGATCGAGTTATGTGCCCCGAATCTGTACTCCTTACGAGGATGCTAGCGGCTTGGACTCAGAGAGTTCCACAGGATTAAAAATTAGATCTGGCCTCACAGGAAGCTGTCAACCTTCATTTGAACTCCACCAATGTTAAGAGCACTTTTTAATCAAGATTATAAAATGCCAAGGGCTCTATGCAATCAGAGATGGATACGACGATTGAAAATTATCAAGTGTGGCATAATCGGCTCAAGTGGTCGGGGAGTCTTCTCTCCATCCTAATGCCTTGGAATTAGTCCTTACTGTTGTTTTAACGCCAACCACGTCCCAAGAAGAAATAAAGCTTTACATCACTTACCGGAACTATAAAAACATGTTGTCTCGACTAAATTCTACATCGACTAATCCTGACATAATGTGTTCCGAAAATGGACATTTGGTGGCCTGGTACTGCTACCCTGTCGCACGCAGTCAGCATGGCCTTGAATAGTTCGAAATAATGGTCGCGTATTGGAACCAGGAAAAGCCATTTCGTCAAATCACAACTGGCACCCATACCGCTAGAGGCGCTAGGCACTTCTCATGTCAAGCCTCAGGTTTCACCTATAGAGCGGGCCATGCCGACTCCTTGCTTTGTGGATAGACGCCGAGGATTGGCGAGTCTTTACGAATAGTCCGAACCGTTCGCGACTTTAACGGCTTTCCTTAAGTTCCCAGTATTATCAAATTTTTAGGGTCTTCCAGACACTTTAGCCGCCTTTAACAGCCCTGGAGCGGCGTGGATTCTGCGTCTCTCCCGCAGGGCTCTTCATCTTCTGCGAAGTTCTCGGCCGTGCAATTGGTTTACATATTCGAGGCCCCGGCATAGAAGCGGACCTATCACGGTACTTAATTCCCAACGAAAGGTCCTCGCTTGGTCAAACGCGCCTTGGATAATTCTATCAATTTCTGTTGACAAACCATCGCCTGTGCTTCCCACTTCCCAAAACTCGGGTTGTTCTGAGACGCGAGAGGTTCGCATGCGCGATGACTCTTTTCAGCATCAATGGAGGGGTACACCCAATTGATCATTTGAGCTTGAAGCGTTTCATAATGATCAATCAATTCGATCGCCCATAGATTGAGGTACGAATCCGAGGTGAATGCGTGAACTCAATACGAAACTGCTTTTCAACTGAAAGGTCAACGTCGTCCCCCATCACAAGTGCAATCCGTTCACTCCTAGGTAGATTATCACAGCAACTCCAATCACACGACCTAATAAGATTGAATCAGTTGCAGATTGGAAGATACGCGAGCTACAGCTTAATGTTCAGCACCAAAATTTCTTGGTATGTCTGGATTCTCTAGAACTTTTGCCTGCATGCAATGCATATCATCTGGTATAAAATCTCATAGCTGCTAGCTGTCGAGTCGCTCTGGATGACAGAGGGAAATAGAACAAGGCGCTAAACTGGCTACCATTTTCTTGTAGTTGTTATACTGAGGTACGGGATACTCGCCTTTTTCAATTGCAAGGATTAGAAGCACAGCACGTGAATGGCCACCTATTTCAGGAGGTGTCACCAAGAATCCCGCCCAGGCTTGTTTCCCGGATGAGAAGTGGACTCCACAGAGTCCCTCCCAGCGCGTCAGTGACCTTAGCACTGTCTCTCAGCCTTTAATAATTGTAATACTGGGGGCTTGTCCATTATCTTTTGACCAAGGTCACATCGAGGCTGTGATGAAACTCCTTCTACAAGTTGACAGTCCTGCGGCCCCTGGATGCAGAGATCAAGGCTTCCGTATCATTCTATGAACTGAATCATACGGGCACTCACTAGCCTCTATCGTTCTCATTAGTCCGCTGACGAAGTGACTGGATCATAATTCCCTGTGCCAGTGGTACACAGGTGCAATTATAAGCCAACCCATGGTGAAGGCCACATCGGCGCTCAGGGATTTCCTTCCCTTTCTCCACAAATCAATCCCGAGCAGGTCGTTTATGCTTACAGTAGCGTGTTCGGAGGATTTTCCAAGAGTTATCGTCCAAAGCAGGGATTGCATCCGAGCTCTGGCGTTTGCCGCTTTCTGTTGGTAATTTAGACCGAACTCTTGGCTCGGAATGGGCGCATACATCCCCATATCAGGTCCCACAAGCATGTCTAGTTTCAAGTTCGTAAATCAAAGTTTAGTTGACTTGTGCATGTGTTATGGTTAAACGCTCCTACTTGACTTTATATAAGGCGTGCGTTCACCGCATCTACAGGCTTCCAAGTCCAGCTCAGCACACCACTGTGATCTGTTCTATCATTCTTCTTCTTGCGCACTCTTCATCATTCACTCTTTACCCGACTTGAAGTCACTCCATTCTTTTTTACGAATCTTCAATCGCAATTATGAAGGCCACTGTCGTTCTCTCCACCGTCCTCGGCTTGGCTTCCTCGGCCTCTGCTCACTACACGTTTGACAAGCTCCTCGTCAACGGTGGTCGACAGGGTGGTGACAACACCTACATTCGCAAGTATCAGAACAGCTATATGCCCACCAAGTTCAAGAATATCCCTTCCGGCTCTATCTCGCCGACTGATGCCGACTTCTCCTGCAACAAGGGCGCCACGGCGGCCGCAAAGGTCTTCACCGTCAAGGCCGGCGACAAGGTTGGCCTTAAGCAGGCCTTCGGTGGCACCGGTATGCTTCATCCTGGCCCCACCCAGGTCTACATGAGCCCGGTCAGCAATGCCGCCTCCGATAAAGGCACCGGCACCTGGTACAAGGTCTCCCAGTCCCTGCTCTGCGAGGCGGGCAACGCCGAGTCTCTTCGGACTGGCGCGTGGTGCAGCTACGGCGAAGATAACGTCCACTTCACTGTCCCCTCGACTATCCCCAACGGCCAATACCTCGTCCGTGGCGAACACATTGGTCTTCACGGCGCTCACAACGGCGAGGCTGAATTCTACTATGCCTGCGCCCAGCTGGAGGTCACTGGAAACACTGCTACGACTATGCCTGGCACTGGTGTCAAGATTCCCGGTGTCTACAAGCAAGCTGACGCGGCCGTTAATTTCAGTCTTTGGGGCAGCTCAACCTCCTACAACACCATCCCTGGCCCCGATGTCATTCCCGGCGGCACCACCCGCGGCAGCGCCAACGGATCTTCCGGCGATAAGTCTGTCACCGTCACTTGAGGCAGCTCTGTTTCGTCCGATGTTGGCGCCAAGGCCGAATGCTAAAGTGACAGTAATATCTAGGAAGTCAAGCTTTGGGCGACGCAACCACGAAAACTTCGTGGGCTCTTGGGGTGTCGCGATAGCCCAATTACTCTCCGGCCCATTACAGGGTGGGCTAAAGGCCGCCCTTCTTCAAGACTCATCCAGAGGAAACATATTTATTCCATGTATTCATATATCCAGTACATACTTTGCAGTCGTGACTGCAGTCTGCGGGTACATAAAAAGAATCGAATTGCATTCGTCACTTATAGTCTCCATTTCTTCTCAAGGATGCTATCGATGTTCGTAGTATCTCGTTGATACATAACTAAATCGCAAAGTCCGGACCAATTGAGGTACTTGTCGACGGGAAATCTCTGCGCATAACCTTATTCTCAGACCATGTTGTGGGACGCACGTATGGTCTGACTCTGCGATAACTGAGTGGGAGCCTGATGAATCATTTGATCTCTTGCTATAAGCACATTGCCGCATTGGTGAAAATAAAATCAGCCGCACTCTGGGCGTATGCGAGTTACTAGGTTTATTTCAATATTGTTTTCTGGTGTTGATTGTGGTTGGTCCAGAAGGACTTAGTGGCGTCGAGTCCGCGGCACGAGATCTTGGCGGGGAAAAGACACATGAATCAAATATCTCTCAACTCGCATTTCACTTCCAACCCCCAGAGTATTTCTTTGGAGTACTACAACCGCAAGTCCTTTGAATTTTGAATGACGACGACTGAAACTCTGTGGCTTGTTTCGTCAAAGCGATCACTAACGTACAGCATGGCAGCAGCGCTAGGGCCTACTGCCCACCAACCTACCGCTAGGCAACTTGTAGAAAGAATTGCCGAGGAGCATGGCATTATTTCCGAAAGCGACTTGACAGAGATTGGGACAATGAACCAACGCATTCGATCTGTGGTAGAAAAGGCTCTGTTACAAAAAGATCAACTGATCGGTTCCTCGATTTTGACGTATGCTACTACTCATCAATTAAATTTGCTCAGATACAACTTCGACAGCTGCTAATCAGGACTCAAGCTTGGCGAAGAACCTCAACACTAGTCATGCCCGCTTTGTCTTCGAACTTCTCCAAAATGCCGACGACAATAAGTACGTAGCAGCGAAGAGTCGCGGTGTTGAGCCTTGTGTAAAGTTCAGCGTATATCGAGACCGAATCAAAATCGAGTGTAACGAGGATGGCTTCACCTATCATGACCTCAAAGCCATCTGTGCGATCGGTCAGAGCTCAAAGAATCGCAGTCAGGGTTATATCGGCGAAAAAGGCATTGGCTTCAAATCCGTCTTCATGGCCGCCTATAAAGTCAACATCCTCTCAAAGGACTTTTCCTTCAGCTTCACCCATCGGAAGGGCGATAGCGGACTCGGGATGGTAACCCCTGTTTGGGAACCAGACTTCATTCCGCAGAATGAACAAGCCCCAAGCTCCATCACGCTCCATCTTCATCAGTACGATGACGCCTCTGTCTCAGAAGCGATGCGGCAGAGAGAGGAAATTAACAGAGAGTTCGAAAACCTTCCAATCA